CCTGGTTCGAAGGGGAGCTGCAGCAGGATCTCACGCTCACGGTTTCATCTACCGTCACACAATATCTTGGGCTCAACATTCGAGAAGATAACGACGCGATCTACCTCAGCGCCGCAAAATACGCCGACACTATCGCCAAGCGTTTCGCCTTCACACCGACCGCGATCTCCACGCCATACCGTTACACGACAGGAGCCGACAAGGGAGGATCTACTCTACTGAAGCCCGCCGGCATACGCGACTACCAGAGAAAGTTGGGCTGTCTTCTCTTCGCAGCTGTCACCTGCCGCCCCGACCTCTCATACTCCGCAAGCCAGCTCGCTACCTACCTCAAAAGGCCTGAAACAGAACACCTGGCGGAAATCGACCGCGCCCTTCACTACCTCGTCAGCACTCCAACGATCGGCTTAACGTATCACAAGAACGCAACTACACCAACCAAGCTAATCGGCTATGTCGATGCCGACCACGCCGGCGATTCCGACAATAGGCGCTCCCGCACCGGCTACATCTACCGACTCGAGCCTATCGGTCCTATCTCCTGGCAGTCGAGTAAGCAAGAACTAATCGCCCTCTCATCAGCTGAAGCAGAATATATCGCACTCTGCTCAGCCACCAAGGAAGGACTTTACCTTCGCGAGCTGCTGGAAGAAGCGAAGTTAGCCGAGTTACCCAACTTCACTCTGTTCTGCGACAACCAATCTGCAATTCGCATCGCCAACAAAAGTGGGTTCGCGAACAGAACGAAACATATCGCCCTGCGATATTTCTTCGTGAAAGACGAGATCGAGAAGGGGAGACTTGAACTATCCTACTGTCCCACGTCCGAGATGGCAGCCGACTATTTGACCAAGAAGCTCGGAAAGCAGAAGTTCGAGTACTGCATGCTGCTGACTGGACAAGGCCACGTCATCAGCAGCGACACTCCAGAAGCGAAGGGGAGTGTTGGAAACAAGTAATTCCTAAAGCGCCTCTGTCGTGTCGAAACATCACACCAGAAGCGAAGCAAGTCATATCGAGGCACGAGCGAGTCAACCCTCGGAGGTTGAAAGAGGTTGCCGGAGGTTACGCGAAAGTCAAAGGTCAGCGACCTTAACCTGACAAGTACAGTACGACAGCAAGGACACACAACCGACTCGTTACAGAGCGGTTGCCCGAGTCGTCACTGTATCGAACCGCAACAGCAACAGTAAAACAGTAAAACAATTACAATCGTATCCTTTCGTATTCATCGTACTCTTATATAAATCTTTGTACTTGCTTGCTTTAATCAACTTACTTTGCCCTCACATACCAGCGCAAGGTGGTTCACAAGTACTTCATTAAACGCTTCCGCTATTACAATTATCCTACCCCGAATTTTACCCCTGCAAAGATCCTAAGGGCTACTTCTCAGCCCAACACTAACTAATGCAGGGTAGAGAACACCACCAGACTAGACCAGAGAACACCACCGCTACTCTAACAGAAACACTAGAAGGGTGCATGCATGGCACACGAGAAGACGAGAGTGTTGCCCCTCCCAACCTGTTCCCAATCTGATGGGTTTGGCTGGTGCATGCGGGGGATCGAAACTGTCAAAGGAATCGTGCGAAGGCTGGAAAAAGACACGGGGAAAAAATTCCCCGGGAACGGGAATACCTCCCTCCCTCCCCGTTTCCCCCCCCCCCCCCCCCCCCCCCCCCCCCCCCCCCCCTCCCTCTCCCACCCCACTAAAAACTCGTCAGGGAATGCCTCAACATCCATCCTAACGGTTCAGGGAAGAACACCACGGGCATTCTGAATGTCCAGGGCATTTCATATAACAACATCCTGAGGCCACAGGGTTAAAATTGACAATATTCTGAAATTACAGGGCAAATTTAAAACTGCATCCTGAATTCAGGGTAATCAGGATGTTTTGCCCTGATAACGTAGGGCCTGTGTGTGTGTGTGTGTGTGCGCGTGCGAGCGCGTGTTGTTGAGATGTATCGAGTATATTTGTTTCCATTTATCTATGTTCAGAACATGATCACAGACCTCACAATCAAGTCAGTTCTTCCGAGTACTGCCATGTGGGGTTTCCTGTCGGTTGCGTACCCCTCTGATTCTCACCCTGGGTTTGGAACGGAACAGTGTGCTGCGTTATTATGTTCGGTTAACTATGGCCAGTCTTGGTTCTTGGGAGTGCCGCTGGTCGAGGGCCATACTTGATTGGCTGGGGTGCCGCCGAGCCACGTTTCCGGCCTGGGAATTGCCCAGCCAAGCAGGGCACAGAGGTCAGCCCTTGGGAGTGTCACAGCAACGCTGACGTTCGCTTGCGTCGCTGCTTTGGAAGTTCTTTTATCTCCCTCCAACCCTCTGCCTGACCAAGGCTTCTATTATTTCCTCAGGCCTTTTTGCCAGATGTAGGTCTAACAATTGCTCTAACTTGCTCAGGCCTTAGATAGGCCAGCCGCATCGCAGTGGAGTGTTTTCTGCATTATGAAACGTGAGAGGCGAGGGAAACCCATTGATTGATGCTGACAATTGCGCTGCTGCGCGTTTCTATGCACGCTCACCTAGTTTTTAGAATACTTACTCAAAGCCAACTTCTCCCCCATGCCATCCTGACCCTGGCGGTTACTTGAAGTCCAGCCAACACCGCACAATGTCGGCGACTCGTCCCAATGATGTCGCACAGCGGTCATTGCGACGAAGCCACAGCAGCAGCGGTAGCAGTCGTTCTGTCCCGGTAGCTGGCGGTTCAAACAGACAGCTTGGTCCAAGCATCGCTGACACGAAACTTAGTGCGATTGGCCCGAGCATCGCTGACCGGAGTAGCTTAGCCAATGAAACGCTGCCAACGGGGCCTCACGGTAGATATACTGCTGCTGACGAGATGCTGAGTCGCGGCCAGCGAAACGGCATGACAGCTGACAGATCAACGGCTGGTATTCATTCCCCCAAAAGACGTGCTTCATCTGAGCGAAGGGAATCTAGCCATGATGTTCAGATTTCGAGCAGTCGAATAGGAAGGAGCGCCGGAAAGGTAAGTGGTTCTGCTACGGCTCACAGCCGGACTCGTAGCGTCGACTTAAGCGTTGTATTGTGCAGGCCTATAACGGAGACAGAAGCGGTGGAGCGCTGGGGTGGAGCTTCAGTGAATAGAGGACCATCCGGTGCAGCAGGATCACATGGAGCTTTCTCGACCATTGATGCCGCATCCGTGATGGACGACCACGATTCTTCGCGGTTTGCAGCGGAACACTGGCGAAAGAACCCTAACGCGTGGACGGAGTTCAATCACGGTGGATTCAAAAGGTCTTATAACGAGGATGATTCCAGTGAGGTCCTGTCACCTTCTGGAGGTGACATACGGGTCGCTCCCGTGCCAAGGCAGGCTAGTACAGGCTCACGTCCGGATCCTAACCCTAACATTTACCTGCGTGCGAAATCGTTCAATCATTCTGTAACCGTGTCTTCGTCTGGAACTTCGTCGACGCCCTCAGGCTCATATCTTCCTCCCGCCTCTCGCTTTTCCCGCGCCAGCAGTGCACATGAAAGGTCCTCGCCCATGACTTTTGAGTTAACTCAAAAGTCGCCCTTAGGCTCTTTTCCTCCTCCTGCCTCTCTCTTCTCCCGTTCCAGCACTACCGGTACACACGAAAGGTCCTCTCTCCCTTCTCCCAGACCCCCCCTCCCCTCCCACACGCCCACAGGCTCGGCCCAGTCGCAATTTTCTAGGTTTGGTCGCTCGCATTCTGTAAAAGATACAGCTGCTGCGGCTACCGCCGCTACAGCTGCTGCTATTGCTGCTCCTACTCGTGCTGGTGATGGTGCCGGTGCTGGCGTTGATGCTGGTGGCTTGAGAAGGTTGGGACATCGGCAGCATCAGGAGCGTCAGGAGGAGGAGCAACACCAGCAGCAGCAGTTGCCGCCGCCGCCACAACCAAAGCAGCAGCAGCAGTTTCAGTTCAATTCTCGCGAATCTGCGAGTGCAAGTGAGAGCAATCGCCTGGGTAGAAGTTCCGGGCACAGGCGCAGTCAGAGCAGCGCGCATGGGTCAGGTCAACGGCTGACCAACATGACACAACAGACGGAACAGATGCAACCGCAGCAACAGGAGCAACAGCAATCTACAGAGCAGCAGCGGCGTGAGGATGGCTTTCGTCAGGGGAGTAAGAGTGAGAGCAAGCAGTCAGTGAAGGGTGCTGGTCACAGGCGCAGTCAGAGCAGTGCTTATGCAACAAGCCAGGCCTCGAATGTAGCTTCAAGTCGTCTGCAGCAGCAGCAACAGCAGCAGCAGCCGCAGCTGCAGCAGGGGCAGCAGCAGCCACAAGGTGTGAGGCGACAGCAAATGCAGCAGGATGGTCCTGAGAGGGAGAGATTGAGTGAGAGTGGTCAGCAGGCAGTGAGTGCAAGGCACAGACGCAGTCAGAGCAGTGCTCATGCTGTCACGCGTAGCTTGGATAAGTCGCCTAGGCCTCAACTGCAGCAGCAGCAGCAGTTGCAGCAACAATTTCCAAGGCGAAAGCAAATGCAGCAGGATGGTCCTGAGAGGGAGATCGTGAGGGGGAGCAGTCAGCAGGCAGAGGGCGCAAGGCACAGGCGCAGTCAGAGCAGTGCTCATGTCGTCAGGCGCCCCTTAGATGAGGCGCCTAGCCATCAGTCGCAGCAGCATTTCGGGTGGTGGCCAGCAGCAGCAGCAGCAGCAGCATGGGACTGGGAGTGGGAGCGAGAGCAGTCAGTCTGTACAGAGTGCAGGTCACAGGCGCAGTCAGAGCAGTGCCCATGCCGTCATTCGGGGCTCTATTCACTCAGTGGGGCAGCCACAACAACAGCCCCAAACTAGGATGCAGCAGCAGCAACCGCGTGAGCCGCATCATCAGTATCAGCAGCATCAAGAGGAAGCGGAGCGTTTTCAACCAGAAAATGGGCTCGTTCCAGGGACTGGGCGGTTGACTGACAGACTGCTGACTGACTCTGATGACATTCTGACGGATTCTGACAGAAGCTTAGGTGGCACTGACCGGCTGACAATGGTTGATGGAGCTGTTGCAGCTGAGTGGTATGCGGGTGAGTGGGTGGCTGTTGGCAGGGAGAGGAGTGGGGATGGCATGGGTGTGCCGATAGTGCATGGGAGGACTACGGTGATAAATGGAGAGGCTATGGTGGTGAGCGGCGAGGCTATGGAGGTGGATGGCTACTTGGAGGAGACACAGGGTGGGTGTTTACTCACTGCTGCTCAGGATGCTGAGAGGCCAGGGGGGTGGGAGGAAGAGATGTCAGGAGAGGCAGCAGGAGAAAGAGCAGGAGAAGCAGCAGGAGAAGGAGCAGGAGAAGCAGCAGGAGAAGCAGCAGGAGTGGCAGCAGGAGAAGCAGCAGGAGTGGCAGCAGGAGAGCAAGCAGGGGTGGCTTTTGAGTCGAGTCAAAGGGCACTCGGTGGGTGTGTATTGGCGGACCAGGTCGAGAGTGGGTGGGGTGTGGAGAGAGAGTTGAGAGTGGAAGCAGCATTGCCAGCAGGGGAGATTGAAGGGGACCAAATGTCCCCTGATGATGCTGCAGTTCCGATGGCCACGCCTGTCTATGGATTCGTGGAGGAAGAGCCGTGGGGGGAGGAGAATAGAGGTGACTGTGAAGGAAGTGATAGTGACGAGGGCTCTGTTATTTTGGCGGATGTTGTGGAATTGGAGGGTGGTGAAGGGGGAGGTTTGACGTTTACAGATAGGGAGTTCGGGAGGGAAGAGGGATGGGAGGCAGAAGTGGTGGACGAAGAGGAGGGGGAGGATGGGGAAGAGGAAGAGGAGGAGGAGGAGGAGGAGGAAGAGGAGGAAGAGGAGGAGGAAGAGGAGGAGGAAGAGGAGGAGGAAGAGGAGGAGGAAGAGGAGGAGGCGAACGAGGAAGAGGCGCATAAAGCGGAGGAGGCAGAGTCAGTCCGAGCAGGCGGTCGGGGTGTTGATGTGGGGATGGGGGAGGCGGTGGAGCTTGAGGAAGAACAGGACGAGGAGGAAGAGGGGGGAGAAGAGGAGGCGGATGAAGAAGAGGAGGGGGATGAAGAAGAGGAGGGGGATGACGGTTATACTTTGGACGAACAGGTCAAGGTTGAGGAGGAGGAGGTGGAGGAGAGAGTGGCGGCAGATTATTGGGACGAGGTGGAGGAAATGGAGGAGGAGGAAGAGGAAGAGGAGGAGGAGGAGCCTTTCAGCCGGGCCTCTGTAACAGCTGTGGAGGCAGCTGCTGTCACGACTGATGAGGCGGTTACCATAACGGGTGATGACCCGGTTACCGTAACGGCTAATAAACTGGTTATTGATTTGTCTGATGAAGAGGAGGAGGATACGATAGAGGAACCCCAAGCAGAGAGCCTGGGCGTGGAAGATGGGGGGGCGGGGGGGGATTCGAGCACAAGCAAAGGCGTTGAAATCAAGGGCGTTGAAATCAAGAGCAAGAGCAGCGGAACGAGGAGTAAGAGCAGTGGGAGTTTGTTCCGCGGGCTGAGGAGCAGAAGCAAGCTGTTACTAGGAGGAAGCAAGGCAGGGGCTGGGCATGGGCAGACGGGCAGTCAGGAGCATTATGGGTCTATGCAGGGCGAAAGTGGCAGTACTTTTGATGGTGCTGCAGACAACCCGTCTTTTTCTGCTGCTCCTCTCGCATTCCCAGCCACACTCTCTGTCGATACCACTGCCAGCAGCAGCGCCATCAGCAGCAGCAGCGCCATCAGCAGCAAGAGTAGCAGCGGTATGGCAGGGCTGCGAGCACGCTCCTTTGCTGCAGTGGGAACCGTCAGAAGCGGTATCACCTCAGCTGCGACTAAAGCAGCGGCGGGGATCAGCTCAGGAGCACGTAACATCTCGACGGTTACCAGTCTCCCCGGCACTGCTGCTAGAAACGTGGCTGCTGCAGCAGGGGAGGTGGGGCAGGGAGCGAGGAGCCTTGCTGCGGTGGCAGCAGGGGGGGTGGCTACTGGTGCGGTGGCTGTTGCTGGGGGGATTAAGGGAGGGGCGAGGAACGTTGCAGGGGGGATTAAGGGCGGAGTGTGGACGGTGGCAGGGGGGGTGAGAGATGGGGCGTTGACGGTTGCAGGAGGGGTGAAAGGAGGGGCGATGACTGTTGCAGGAGGGGTGAAAGGAGGGGCTATGAATATTGCTGGAGGGTTGAAAGAGGGTGCTTTGACAGTGGCAGGGGGTGTGAAAGAGGGGGCTTTAACAGTGGCAGGTGGTGTGAAAGAAGGGGCTTTGACAGTGGCAGGGGGTGTGAGCGGGGGTGCGCTGACAGTAGCAGGCGGGGCACAGAGCGTGGCATTTGCAGCAGCGGGAGGAATCAAGGAAGGTGCAAGGAGCGTGGCCGGCACTGCAGCAGCGGCAGCAGCGGTGGCAGCAGGGGGGATCAAAGAGGTGGCATCTGAAATCAGGCATTTGGCAGAAGAGGTTGCAGCTGGACAGGCTGGCGCAGGCTCTGGTAGGATGCAACGGGTGCATAACGTTGCAGACAGAGAGGATCGAGAGGATAGGGAGGATAGGGAGGATAAAGAGGATAGAGAGGATAAAGAGGGCCAGGCGGGTGACGAGAGGGGATTGTGGAGTAGCGGCTTGGTGAAGAGCAGGAGCAGAGATGGGGCCACGAGTGCCGTTAGAACCAGCCCTGGTTCCTTTACAGGCAGATCTGTTACAAGGAGTAAGACCCACGACAGCCGAATCATCAGCAACAGCAGCAGCTCCAGCCCAATGGTGCCTGCTGCTAGCCTTGGTAGGAGGAGCAGGAGTGGGAAGGAGAGGGATGCTGGCGCCTTCAATGCAGACTCCTTCCTGGAAGGCTTCTTTGATTCAGACTCGCTACCAAGGTGGTCCTTCGATGCAGCTTCCTTTCACTCCAGCCCAGCCCACACAGACCCCTTCAATCCAGATTTTTTCACTATAGATTACTCAGGCGACCTTGGCACTAGTAGTACTAGTACCAAATCACTCCCTAAAGCGGATACCAGCAGGGGAGAGGCACTCCCGCGTAAGGAGCATAGAGGCAGCCTGTTGACAAGAAAGGGCGGCAGTGCCAGGATGGCTAGAAACGAAACTGCCACTCCTGCTCTGGCTGCTCTGGCTGCTCCGGATCAGGCATCCTCCTTGTCCTCCGCTGCCAAGCCGAATATTCTCGCTTGGAGTGCCACTGCAGTTGCCCCGGGTGCTCCTAATTCTGGTCCCATTCTCGCCTTTCAACCGCACTCAACTGCTTGGTCTGTCGCTCAAGAGGACTGCACCGCAGCAGTAGTTGGGGCGCTGTCTAGCAGCAAGACCACCGACGGAGTGAGCAGCAGCAGCGATGCCGGGGGAAGTGGGAATCTGAATTTTCGGGGCAGTGCAAGCTTCCAGCATGCCAACAAGGGGCATTCCAGAGACTTGTCCGAGGAAATCCCGTCCCTCCGGGTGACTAGCCTCGCTGCTCTTTCCCCTGAAGATGCCCTGTTGGCATTGTGGGAGGAGGAGGGGGAGTGTGAGGAAGGGGGGGAGGGTAAGAGAGGGATGAGAGGCTCTCACTCCCGCCGTTTCCATGCCTCCGGTCTTGCCATTGCCGGAGCTGCTGCCGCAGCTGCGGCAGGGGTTCGGTCCGGAGCTAAGAATGTAGCTTCGGCGGCAGCAGGGGGGATCAAGGGAAGGGCAAGGAGCGTTGCGTCTGTAGCAGCAGCAGCTGCGTCTGGAATAGGGTCGAGAGTAGAGAGTGTGGGAGGGAGTGTTGCATTGCGGGGTGCGAGCGTGGGTAGCAGCTGCTGCAGGCAGGCTCCTAGGACGGAAACGTTTGGGCACAATGCGTCGTTTGTTGAGAGGTTTGTTGCTGGGTTGGAGGAGAGTGGGGTGGGTGTGGAGGGAGAGAGCGGACAGGATTTAGGGGGGGAGGAATGGGAGGTTGGAAACGGTGACAAGGGATGGGAAGAGATGGAGGAGGATGTGGAGAGGGAGATGGTGGAGGAGGGTGAAGGAGAGGAGAGGGAGGGTGAGGAGTTGGAGGAGGAAGGAAGACGGCCGGAGGGGTTGGAGGGGGAGGGTGTTTTTGAGATCTCTCAGAAACACCAGGGGCAACAGCAGGGGCAGCACCAGGGGCAACAGCAGGGGCAGCACAGGGGTCGAATGTCATGCGCATTCTCCAGCAGTGCCGTTTCGGTGCTTGCCCATCCTGGCAGCAGTATGGGTGAGGGGGAGGAGGAGGAGGCTCGTGCTGCCAGCAGTGCAGCCATGCGACGCTCAGTGAGCAGCAGCAGCAGCGGTAACGTGGTAACCACCAGTCTTGCCGTAACCAGCAGCAGCAGCAGCAATGCGGTAACCGATAGTGTTGCGGTAACGAGCGCTGCTACTTTCACCAGCAAAGCAGCAGAGGGGCAGCACAGCAGGCGGGCTTTACCTGCCTACCAGGTGCCCCTGTCCCTCCGCATCAGAGCACCCTTGGAACAATGCACTCTAGACGGCGGGGGTGAGGGAGTGGCCATGGCTTTGCGAACGTCTACATCCATGGGTGGCGAAGCTATGCTTGTTGCCAGGTCAGCCTCCTTTGCAGGGACAGGAGCATGGTCAGAGAGTCCAGCTGGCAGTGCCACATCAGCATCGCTGGATAGTGTTCCGGATTCCCGTCCCCCGCAGCAGCAGAGTCAGCGGATGTTGCAAAGGGCGAAGTCCGAGGGTAGGACTGCTGCTGCTGGTTCGGCTTCATCCTCCTTACTGCATGCTTCACAGTTGCGTTTTGCATCCCAAACGGGCCGGCACATGTCAAGTGGTCGCTCCAGTTCACGAAAGCGACTGCATGAAATTTTTCAAGAGCAGCAGCAGCAGCAGCAGCAGCAGCAGCAGCAGCAGCAGCAAAGGAAGCTATCAAGTCGTGGGTTGGGCAGGAGAGGGCTGTATCTGAGGCAATGGGCCTCAGCAGGGTGTCCCTCTCCCTTAGACGCTGCTGCAGATGCTGCTCTAGCTGCTGCCTCAGGTGTCCGCTCAGGTGCCTCAGGTGCCAGCTCAGGTGACTATTCAATTGCGGCCTCAGGTGCCGTCTCAGGTGCCACGTCAGCAGCCTCCTCTCCCCTGCGCTCCTCATTCACTGCCCAGCCACGTGGCAGCTCTCCAGCAGCCTCTCTTCCACATGGCAGCCTCTCAATGGTGCACCGTTTCGTCTTTATAGATCCCCCAGCCAGCAGCATTCGCCCTGCTGCTACCCCTGCCAGCAGCAGCAACACCCATTATCCTCGTAACCCTGGTAACCTAAGTAACTCCAGTAACCCTAATTACTCCAGTAACTACTGTAACCCTAGTAACCCTAATAACCCCAACTACTTGAAGCGGTTTGGCAGCGCCAGGCTTGACCTACTCTCTAGCAGAAGCAACTCAAGTGGGTTCCGTGAGAGCAAGCCTTCCCAGCTCCTCCGCAAGAGCAAGAGCAGCAGCAGCAGTGACTGGAGGCGTGATGTTGGCGCGCACGAGAAAGAGCAGATCAGCCCGACGAAGGATGACGCTCCTTCTCTCCATCGCTCCATGTCCTCTGGGGCGTCACTGGACAGGGCCACAGGTAGGGGGGATTCCGTGTCTCAGCAGCAGAAGGAGCAAGAGGCGCAGGAGCAGCAGGTGCAGCAGTCGCAGCCGATGAAGCCGAAACTGCAGAAGCTGAGCTCCCGCTCCAACCGTGACTCAATTGTTTTGCAGAAGGAGCAGGAGCAGGAGCTGGAGCAGCAGAAGGCGCAGGAGCAGCAGGAGAAGCAGGCACAGCAGGAGCAGTTGCGGCAAGTGCAGGAGTCACAACCAATGAAGCCGACCCTGCAGAAGCTCAGATCGCGCTCCAATCGTGATTCGGGTCTCTTGCATCACTGCTCCCTTCCCCCCTCTTCCCTCTCTGCTGAACCCTCCACATCCTCCGTCTCCTCTTCCTCCTCCTCTCTCCCCTCCTCTCTCCCCTCCTCTCTCCCGTCCTCTCAGCGAAATGCAGTTGATCTCACCACCTCCTTCCCTCAGTTTAAGCGAGAGATTGCCCGGATCCGCTGCTTGTCATCCCTTAGATCCGCTGCTTCTTCTGCAGGCTCTGCTTCTTCTGCTGCTTCTGTGTCTTTAAGTGGTAGAAAGCACCCCCAGGAGCGGTGGCAGGAGTGGGCCGAGCAAGTGACGGGAAAGAATTTCCTGTCACGAACGCTGAACGAGCAGCAGGAGGAGAAGCTGCGGAGTTGTGATGAGAATCAAACGAGTCAGCAGACAGATGAGCAGAAGGATCGGGAGCAGGATCAGCAACCTGTGCAGGAGCAGGTGCGGCACTTACAAGGCAAGCCACTAAGACCCGGGCTTCACCGTAGTGCCAGTGCACAATCTCTCAACAGGCTTCATCCAAAGGTCCCTCCTTCAGAAGCGCCTCGTAAGTCGCGTCTTGGTTCGAGGTCCCTGACTAGCAGTGTGAGTGCGCAATCCACTCTCAACAACACAGGCCACCCAGACCTCCCTCCCCGCTTCCCCTCGCCAGGTACCCCCGCAGATGCCGCAGGTGAGTTTCCAGGTGCATCTCCAGGCGATTCGCCAGGTGGCTTTTCTCAGGTGCGTCCTCAGGTGCTCCCGCAGGTGTTCCAGTTCCTCTTTGAGCCACACTTATCACCGGAACCCTCACTGCCTGATCGTGCAAGCCTGCTTCTGACGAAATGTACTGAGCTGTCAAGGATTGAGCGTAGAGAGCTGTCGACCAGAGGGCTTATTCTGAGGCCGGAGGGAGGAGAGAGAGTGAGAAAGGAGAGGAGGGTGGGTGTGGAAGAGAGAGAGCGAGAGGGGGAGGGGGAAGGGGAGAAGGGGGTTGAGGAGGGGAAGATGGCGAAGGAGAACGCGTGCGGTGCTGAGGGTTTGGGAGTGGGAGAGGGTGGTGGTGGGGAGAAGGAGAGGAGTAAGCTGGTGTGGGAGAAGCTGGAGCAGCAGCTGGAGGTGCAGATAGAGGAGGAGGAGAGGCGAGAGATGTTATTAGAGCGGCAGCACGCAGAGGGCAGAGAGCTGAGTGATGCTGTTGGAGGCGTCCAGGATGTGGTTTGGGGCAGTGCAAGGCAGGCAGATGAGGTGGATGGGCGTGGTGCTGATGGGTTGAATCCGGTGGCGATGCCAGCCAGAGCGCGCATGCTCTCCCGGCTAAATGCTACCCGACGCCGCCCATCCGAGGGCGGTAGTTTTGACGGCAAGAGTGTGGGAAGTAGAGGAGGTGAGGAGGAGGATGCGAGTGATAGGATGAGTGATCAAGGCGCGACGGAGGCCGAGCGAGGTGAGGAGGAGGATGAGAGTGATAGGATGAGTGATCAAGGCGCGACGGAGGCCGAGCGAGGTGAGGAGGAGGATGAGAGTGATAGGATGAGTGATGAAGGCGCGACGGAGGCCGAGCGAGATGAGGAGGAGGACGGGGAGGAAGAAGGGAAGAAGGAGAGTGAGGTGCTATCACCGAGGGAATTGGCCATGATGCTGCTGTGGGTGATCCCTGGGTTAGGGGGCAAGGAGGAGGAGGAGGAGAGGAGGAAGGTGAGAATACGTCAAGCCCTGGCAGCGGCAGCTGGGGAGATTCGATCCGGGGCTTTAAATGTGGCCTCGGCTGCAGCAGGCGGGATTGCGAGTGGGGCTTTAACTGTGGCAGGGGGGATCAAGGGTGGGGCGATGAATGTTAGGGAGGGGATTAAAGAAGGGGCGTTGAATGTCAAGGAGGGGATTAAAGAAGGGGCTTTAAATGTCAAGGAGGGAATCAAGGGAGGAGCGATGAATGTGAAGGAAGGGATAAAGGGAGGGGCGATGAATGTTAAGGAAGGAATTAAGGAAGGGGCGTTGAATGTCAGGGAGGGGATAAAGGAAAAGGCGATAAATGTGAAGGAGGGGATTAGGGGAGGGGCGAGGAACGTTGCGTCTGTTGCAGTGGCAGCGGCAGCAGCAGCAGCAGCGTCTGGAAAAACACCTGGTGAGTCTAGAAGGACACATAGCATGGGTCAACTACCTCGGCGTGTGGCTAAGAGCGGTGATGATTCTAACTGGGGGTGGGACGTTGAAGGAGGGGAGAGAGGAGGGGCAGGAGGAGGAGAGGGAGTGGGAGGAGGTGAAGGAAAAGAAGGGGGAGGAGGAGGAGGAGGAGGGAAGAGGTTCTTGCAGACGCTAGGTAAGGTGAAGGGGACAGTCTTGGGGTTAAGCAGCAAGGGCCTACAGCGAAGGGAAACTTTTGGGGCAACTAGCCCTATTTCTCCCGGGTTCTTTCACAATCCGCCCAGTATTTTCCATCGTAAGTCAGCGCCTGCCGAAGAGACTGTTCTCGTTCCCATGGGTAGTGAGGGGGGGAGAGTGGTGAGAAGCAAGAGTGCGGAGCACAAGGGAGTGAGGGAGGCTGGGTTGAATCCAGGGGTGGGGACAAGGGAGGTTGGGAGTTCACGTTCTGGTGGCCTGGGAAGGTCGTATTCAGGGGAGGTGGGATCTGACCCTGGGGCGCTTCAAAGCCTGGGGAGGTCTTATTTGCAGGAGGTGGAGATTGGTGCTGTTGGGTTTGCCAAGGTTGTAAGGAGATACGATGATGATGAGGATGAGGATGAGGATGAGGAGGATGGGAGTGAGGGTGACAATAACGAGGATGTGATGAAAGAGGATGATGAGGATGACAATAACGAGGATGGCAATAACGAGGATGGCAATAACGAGGCGCTCTGGTGGGGGGACTACGAGGAAGAGGAGCAGCTGATGCTGGATGATTCAGATGAAGATTCAGGTGACACTTCAGATGAATGTTCACGGAACCCGTTTGTGCTTGGTGGTTTGGAGGAAGGCGAGGTTTTGAGTGGACGTGTGGTAGAGGGAGGGGCATTGGAAAGGGGAGGGGAGTTAGTGAAGGGATTGGAAGGGGGAGGAGGAAGGGGAAGAGTGGTTGCAGGATGGGGTGCGTTGAAGAAGCTTGACAGTAGGCGGCGAGATCGACGATCAGGATCATCGTTTGGTTCCGATCTACCGTCCATGGGTGAAGAGGAGATGGATGTGGAGGGGAGTTTGAGTGACGAGGAGAGAGAGGTGGGGGCGGGGGGAGAGGGGGAGGAGAGGAGAGAGGTTGAGGATGGGAGAGACTTGGAGGGGAGGCGAGTGGTGGAGGAAGAGAGAGAGGGGGGGGAGGGGATAGAGGTGGAGGACGGGGGGGAATTGGAGGGGGGACGAGTGGTGGAGGAAGGGAGAGAGGGGGAGGAGGGGAGACAGGGGAAGCAGGGGAAGCAGGGGAGGGAGGAAGAGGGGGGGAGAGAAGGGGAGGAGGAGAAGGAGGAGAAGGGGGGCAAAGAGGTGGAGGAAGGAGGGGAGGCGGACGAGAAAACAGGGAAGAGGGAAGAAGAGTTGGAAGAGACTAGAAGTGAGAGGGAGGAGGAGAAGACTGGGAGTGAAGGGGATGAGGAGGAGATTCGGAGTAAAGAGGAGGAAGAGGAGACTAGGAGTGAAGGGGAGGAGGAGGAGGAGAGTGAAGGGGAGGAGGAGGAGGAGAGTGAAGGGGAGGAGGAGGAGGAGAGTGAAGGGGAGGAGGAGGAGGAGAGTGAAGGGGAGGAGGAGGAGGAGAGAGAGGCGGAGGAGGGAAGCTGCGTTGGGGAGGTGAGAGTGGTGCAGGAAGCGAGAGAGGTAGAGGAGGGTGGAAAGGTGGATGAGGAAAGAGAGGTGGAAGGGGAAAGAGAGGTGGAGGAACAAGGAGAGGCAATGGAGCGAACAGGGGTGGAGGGAGGAAAGGCTGAAGAAGGTGAGCTTGAAAGGGTGGAGGAGGAGAGAGAGGAGAAAGAGGAGCAAGAGGAGGAGAAAGGTAATCGCGTTAGGGAAGTGGGATTGGGGGAGGAAGGAGGAGAGAGAACGCAAGGTACACTGGTGGAGGGGGGGCAAGGGGAGGGGGAGAAGGAGGAGAGAGATTTGGGGGTTATTCAAGGGTTGGAAAAGGGAGAAGAGGGCGAAGAGGGAGAAGAGGGCGAAGAGGGAGAAGAGGGCGAAGAGGGAGAAGAGGGCGAAGAGGGAGAAGAGGGCGAAGAGGGAGAAGAGGGCGAAGAGGGAGAAGAGGGCGAAGAGAGTGAGAAGGGTGAGGGAATTCATAGGGGCGGAAAAGATTTGGAGGAGAATGGGGAGAGTGGAGGTGAGGAAGTGAGTGAGGGGGAGGAGGGAAGGGAGAGGAAGGAGAGCGTAGAGGGGAAAGAGGGAAAAGGAGAAGAGAGGACAGAAAGGGTGGTGGATATGGATGAAATGGTCGATGGGAATGCTGAGGTCGGTCAAATAGTAGATGCAACGGCAGCAGCGCCGGTTCTGAGAATTATCAAAAGTGAAGTGGTAAAGGAGGGGGTAGATGGGAGTGCTGAGGCTGATGCTATTCAGTTGGTAGTTGCAACGGTGGCAGCGCCAGTCTTTTTAGGGTTTGGGGGACCAGCAAGAATGACAGAAGGAGGAGGTGCAGCAGAAGTGGCGGAAGCAGCAGAACCGACACCAACAGATGTAGCAGAACCCAAGTACCCAGCAGAATCAAGAGCAGTAATAGGAGCCACAGAGGCAATTGCAGTAGCAGAATCAGCAGGATTAATAGACGCAGCAGAATCGGTAGAAGAAGCAGAATTGATAGCTGCAGCAGAAGCAGTAGATGCAGCAGAAGCTAGAGTAGCGTTAGAACTAACAGGAGAAACAGCAGCAGTGGCAGAAGCAGCAGAACGATCAGAAGTGGCTGAAGCAGCAGTAGTGGCAGAGACAGGTGAAGCAGCAGTAGTGGCAGAGACAGGTGAAGCAGCAGACATAGTTGGGGAAGAAAGAGCAGCAGTGGCTGAAGTAGGAGGTGTTGAGCCATCGCTGCCAGCTGTAGTGACTGCTGCTGTTGCTGCATCAGACGTACCTGTTTTAGACGCACCTGTTTCGGATGTACCTGTTTTGGATGTACCTGTTTCAGACGCACCTGTTTTAGACGCACCTGTTTCGGATGTACCTGTTTTGGATGTACCTGTTTCAGACGTACCTGTTTCAGACGTACCTGTTTCAGACGTACCTGTTTCAGACGTACCTGTTTTAGACGTACCTGTGTCAGACGTACCTGCCTCAGATGTTCCTGCCTCAGATGTACCTGCCTCAGATGTTCCTGCCTCAGATGTACCTGCCTCAGATGTTCCTGCCTCAGATGTACCTGCCTCAGATGTTCCTGCCTCAGATGTACCTGCCTCAGATGTACCTGCCTCGGGCTCCACAGCAACAGATACCCCATCCACTTTTGAGGCGCCTCAAAAAGTGCATACCTCGGACGTACCTGCCTTGGACGTACCTGCCTCGGACGTACCTGCCTCGGGCTCCACAGCAACAGATACCTCATCCATCCGCCGAATCGGGTCAGCAGTAGCAGCAGCGGTGGCAGCAGGAGAGGTGGTGATTAGTGAGAGTGCGGCCGGCGCTGCTGTGCTGCTTCAGGCAGACCAACCTCTTTTTGAGCGCACTCAGGAGCTGTCGGGGAGAGGAGCAGCAGAAGTGGAAGCAGAAGCAGAAGCAGCAGAAGCAGGAGCAGAAGCAGGTGCTGAAAAAGAGGCTGCGGCAATAACAGGAGAAGAAGGGAGTGTGGGGCGTGGGAGTGTGGAGGAGAAGAGTGTTGGTGAAGGGAAGAAGCGAAAGGTGAGGGGAAAAGGGGGCGAGAAGAAAGCGTTGCTTAAGTCACCTTCCAAGAAGATTCTTTGGCAGGAGTCCCGGGACGGGGAAGCGAGCGGGGATGATGTGGTGAAGAGCGGACGGGTGAGGAGAAGCAAGAGTAAATTGAAGAAGGGAGAAGCGGGAGAGGGTGAGGAGAGGCAGGAGGCAGGAGGAGACAGTGAGGGTGGAAGTAAGGTCAGAAAGAGCTCGAAAAAGGGAAACAAAACCCGCAGCAAAGCGAATCAGCAAGGGCAGCAGCAGGAGGAGGAGGAGGAAGAGGAGAAAGAGAAGCAGAGAGAGAAGGAAAAGGAGAACGAGAAGCAACAGCAGCAGCAGCAGCAGCAGGGGGCGGAGCAGCCGCCACAGGAGCTGCTACCAAGTGTGACCATTCGCCATATGCTGCCCTCAGGAGAGCTTGCAACCACACCACAGCGCCTCTCCATCCCTGCTGCGCCCCTCTCCCCCACCACTCTCACCAGCCCCACCAGCGGCACCAGCACCCCTCACAGCAACGCCTCCTCTCCCGCCTCCCCTGCTGGCTCCTTCAGCTTCGCCCTGCTCTCCCCTGCCACTCCTAAGCAGCCTTCTAAACGGGGCACCGCTGCTGATGCTGCGAGTGCTGATGCTGGTGAGGAAATGAGTGGTCTTGGTGCGAGTGGGGCTGATGCCGCTGCTTCTGCAGGGAAGAAGGTGATGAAGGGGAAGAAAAAAGCCGTGCGTCTGCCTGCGATTGGTGAGACGGAGGGAAGTGAGGGCGAGATGAAGGAGGGGAGAGGCGAGAGGAAGAAAACGACGAAAAAACACCTGCACAGGGGAGCATCGGTCGCATCGGCAGCATCCACAGCTTCAGCAGCGTCGGCAGACTCCCGAGCCTCTAAAGCATCGGTAGCATCAGCTGCAGCATCCATAGGTTCTGTAGCTTCTGTGGCGTCAGCAGCAGTATCGGTGGTTTCAGCAGAGTCGGTTGTTTCGAGTGTGTCAAGCACATCGTCAGGTAAACCCCGCAAGTCACCCAGTCACAAGCCACCAATCACCCCAACCACCCCTACCACCCCAGCCAACCCAGTCTCCCCTGCCACGCCAGTCTCCCCATCTACTCGTGAGTTCCAAGTTTCACCCAGCAGACGATCGTCAGTGGACGATCCTAGCGGCACTCACAGCCCTCCCATACGCAGAATGATCCCCCAGAGCATGAGCGCTTCACATGCCACTTCTGCCCCTGCTGCTGCCGCCGCTGCTGTAGCTGCTGTTGAGCAGCAGCAGTAGCAGCAGCAGCAGCAGCAGCAGGCGGCAGTCAATGGGCAACGATTTTTGCGGCAGTGGCACTACAAGCTCTCCTCCCGTGCGCAGAATGATTCCCCAGAGCATCAGTGCTTCGCACTCTGCTTCTGTTGAGCGCAGCAGCAGCAGCAGCAGCAGCAGCAGGCGGCAGTCAGTGGACGATTTCACCACCAGTGGCTTTACAAGCCCTCCCGTGCGCAGAATGATTCCGCCAAGCATGAGTGCTTCGCATTTGACTGCTGCTCCTTCTGCCGCTGCCGCTGCTGCTGTTGCGGCTGTTGAGCGCAGCAGCAGCAGCAGACGGCAGTCAGTGGACAACGCTTCTAGCGGCACTCACAGCCCACCTGGGCGCAGAATAATTCCCCAGAGCATGAGCGCCTCACATTCGACTGCCGCTGCCGCTGCCGCCGCCGCCGCTGTAGCGGCTGTTGAGCGCAGCAGCAGCAGCAGGCGGCAGTCAGTGGACGATTTTAGCGGCAGTACCAGTGGCACTCACAGCCCACCCGTCCGTAGAATGATACCCCAGAGCATGAGTGCGTCGCACTCTGCTGTTGAGCGTAGCAGTAGCTCCAGGCAGCAGTCAGTGGACGATTGTAGCGGCAGTGGCACTACAAGCCCTCCTCCTGGGCGCAGAATGATACCCCAGAGCATGAGTGCGTCGCACTCAGGTCCGGTGGTCAGATTTCTACTGCCAGGGGAGGTGCTTTCTGAGCCGCCCCGATCCCCGCCTGCAGCCCATTCTAGCCCTTCTCGGGTGCCCCCCCGTTCCCCGAACATGGCTCATTCTAGCCCAATCCAAAGCCCGCCTGCACGCAGAATGATCCCTCAGAGCATGAGCGCTTCGCAAGCCCCCGCCGCTGCTGCTGACTTCTACCTTCCTGCCGAGCAGAGCCCTTCTCGGGTGCCCCCCCGTTCCCCAAATATGGCTCATTCTAGCCCAACCCAAAGCCCGCCAGTTAGAAGAATGATCCCTCAGAGTATGAGCGCGTCGCAGGCCGTGTCCTGGCTCCCCCCTATGGCTCGATCTCCCACCAGCTCTCCCAACGCGTCCAGGCGGGTTTCGATGGATGATCCCAGTGGCAGGAGGGTTGCTGTGTCACCACACAGACGGGTTTCTGTGGATGATTCTAGCGGCACTCTGAGTGGTGTGATTGGTGTGAGTGGGCCTGGACGGAGAATGATTCCCCAGAGCATGAGCGCTTCACATACCTCCTGCTGCTGCTGCTGCTGCTGCCGATGCTGTTGCTGCTGTTGGTGATGTTGACGGTGGCAGGAGCAGCAGCAGCAGAGGGGTATCGCCTGTTAATAGCAGCAGTGGCAGCAGAAGCAGGAGCGTGTCACCGGTTGATTTCAAGCGGCTGCGGTGGAAAGGGATTGGGAGGAGTGCAGGGAAGGAGGAGAAGGAGGAGGGAAGGCGTGCGGGTGGAGGGGAGGGAGGGGAATGGAGGGAGGAGGAGGAGGTGGAGGAGGAGGAAGAATTGGAGGAAGGAGGTGTTGCATCTGGCAAAAAGAAGGGCGGTGTGACCGGCAAGGGTGGTGTGTCGAGCAAGGGTGGTGTGTCGAGCAAGGGTGGGCTTGGCAAGATTCTGAAGGGCCTGGATTCATCAATGGGGAAATTGATTAAGGCAGCTGGAGGGAAGAAGAGTCGAGACCACGAGTCCACTGCTGCTGCTGCTGCTGCTGCTGAGACTGCTGGAGGAGTGGCAGCAGACGGGGCTGCAGCAAAGGTTAAGCGGACGATGAGCAAGAAGGGGAAAGAGGTGGGCAAGGGGAAGGAGGAAGGGATGGAAGGTAGAGCTGATGTGCTGATGAAGAGTAGCAGTGTGGACGAGGAACAGGGAGAGGAGAAGAGGATGGGAAGGACAATGAGTAAGGTGAAGAGAGGAGGGAAGGAGGAGAATAGGGAGAAGAGTAAAGAAGAGAGTTTGGGTGTGGTGACTGGGAAAGGGGGGGAAAGGAAGGCTGGAAGGACGCTCAGTAAAGTGGAGAGGAAGGGGAAGGTGGGGAAGGAAGGAAAGGAGGGGAAGGAAGGGAAGGAGGGAAAGGATGGGGGGGAACCAGAGGAAGGGGATTATGAGAGGAAGGCGGGCAGAACACTGAGCCGGAAGAAGAGAGAAGGGAAGGGGGTAGAGGAAGATGACGAGGGGAAGGTGAGGAGGGTGAAGGGAGAGGGGATGGAATCGGAGGAGGACGGGGATAGGAAAATGAGGAGGACGATGAGTAGGAAGAAGAAAGGGGACGAAGGGGAGAAAGGAGGGGAGGAGGAGGAGGATGTAGAGAGAAAGGTGAAGAGGACAATGAGTAGGAAGAAGAGAGAGGACGGGGGGGAGAAGATGGACAAGGGGGAGGAGGAAGGGGGGCGAAACAAGAGCAAGAAACCTTCAAGTAAGACAAAGAGGGAGAAAGCGGAGATGTTTGGGGATTCAGGGGCAGAGGAGGAAGCAAAGCGACATGGGACTAAGGAAGAGGAGTTGGTAAATAGGACGCTGAGTAAGATGAAGCGTGCAGGGGAAGATGTGCATGGTCGAGGTGGGGAAGAGGGAGGAGGAGAGGGAGGGGGAGAGGAGAAGAAAGCCAGTCGGACGCTAAGTAGAGTGAGGAGAGAGGAGAAGGAGGACGAGGAGGATGGGGAGAGGAAAGCAAGCAGGACCTTAAGCAAGGTGAAGAGAGGAGAGAAGGCGTGTGAGGGGTTGGAGGAGAGAAAAGCGAGCAGAACGCTAAGTAGAGTGAAGCGAGGGGAGGAGGAAACTCGGGAGGATGGGGAGAGGAGAGCAAGCAGAACGCTTAGCAAGGTGAAGAGAGGAGAGAAGGAAGAGGGGGAGGTTGAGGAGAAGAAAGCAAGCAGGACGTTAAGTAAAGTTAGGAGGGAAGGTGGGCACGGGGATGGAAGTGGTGTAGAGAAGAAGGCCAGTCGAACACTAAGCAGGGTGAAGAGAGAAGGAAACGAAGCTGGAGGTGGTGATAGTGTGGACAGCAGCGCACACAGAGCCACTCGCAGCAGCAGCCACGGGCACGAGCCCTCCCACAGGCGAGCTACCTCGCATGGGAGCATCACGGGGCGGGAGAGCTTTCACAGCCATGAGAGCTCGAGGAGTTCAGGCAGCAGGGGGGGGAAGGAGAGTGAGAGAGGGGCGGTGGACGGGAGGAAAGCTGCTCGCACTTTGAGCAGTCGGAGGGCTGAGGGGGCGGAGAGAGCAGGGGAGGGTGAGGAGGGGAGGGTTTCGAGACCGAGAACGGCTGACAGTGGTGGGAACGCAGTGAGTGGTGGGGGATGGGTGCAGCTGGGTTTGCCGAAACACGGAGTGGTGACAATGGGTCTGCAGGAGCAGCTGTCGCCATTTGAGGCCCCGCCGACAGCTCAGAAGCCGCCCGTTTCTCCGGTCTCGGGCGGCATCTGGAAGGCGATATCGTCGTTTGCCACGTCGCCGCGCGCCAGCTCATCGCATGCCATGTCAGGCGTCACGTCACCGCTGATGTCACCATCGGATTCGCCAGCTCATGCCTCGCCTCCACTGGGCTCTCCCACCCGTCCCAAGTCACCTTCGTTGAAGTCACCTACGCTTAAGTCACCAAGGATGAAGATACCATTTATGGAGTCTGGTAAGGCGGTTAAGCTTGGCAAGAGCAAATCGGCTAAGGATAGTCGGGACAACGAGGAGGTAAAGGAGAAGGATAAAGAGAAGAAGGGGAAGAAGAAAGAGAAAGAGAGAGTGAAGACCAAGGGGAAGGGCCTGCACGATGATGGTGAGAAGGCAAGGGCCAAGAGCCCTATCAAGGGTGTATGAGTACATTTGAGCCTTTATTTCTAATTTACGCTAATATTCTGACTCCACAGGTATATCTAATATGTATATAAAGTGATGTTTTTTTTCTTCTGATTTGTTTAGGGTAGTTGCCTTAGATGTCTAAAGGTTGCAGTTGCAATTTGTAACAGATGTGCAAGTTCATGGTAGAAATGGATGATGTCAAATAACGGGGAACTTTCTAGTGGAGCTGGATACTGGTTGGCTTGCGTCTCACATGTATGTGCTCAACCACTCGTCATGCGCCAATCTACGGACGAGTTTTTCAGCGAATCGACAGCGTACACGTTCTCTGGAGCTCACTTCGCGAATACAGCTGACGAATCACGAATGATGAGCGAAGTCTTCGGACGATTGCTTGGTCGTCATTTTCCTCCATGGACACCCTGGCACATCCCTGCTTCACCTGTTCGACACGTCATGGTATGTAATTTGTGTGGGGGAACAACAGTCGCGACGCAGCCCTCTAGTAGTTACCACACTCGTGCGACATCGCGAATCTCGTGGACCTCGCTGCATTTACACATAACACATTTCCCTCTCACCATGCTGAATTCTTCCCCAACTCTCATTCAATTTCAAGGCATAGCACAAGCGACCAACTCGTGGTTAGTGATCGCTGTGCTGGGAACTAACCATTGCGCCCCCCAAACGCCGAATCCGTTTCTTCCCTTTTACCGTGGCCATCGCTGAAGCGCTAATCTGTCGATCAACGGATAAGGGAGAGAAGAAGCATACCTTGTTTCTATTCCCACCACGGTTTCGACCACCACTCGGCCGCGTAGTTTCAGCAATGGCCAGCATTTGCGCGTCTCCTCTCGTCGCAACTGCCTCCTTCCTCCCTCGCCGAGCCTCGCCTCCGCTGGCTGCGCTCCGCGTGGACTCCGCAGCTTCCGCCATGCTCGGCCGCTTCACGTCCGCGAGATCGCAGCCGTCTGTTCCGTTGGCTTCTGAGAAATCTCGAGCCTTAAGAAACGGCACACGGACGGCCCCGAATTTATCGAGTGATGGAGAAAATGGATATCGCATACGCATCATCCTAAATTTATGTCACGGACACTTTTCAGGCACCTTAGACTACGGATATTGCAGGAGCAGCAACTTCGGTGGACGTGGGACCAAGGGTAGGAGAGGCGTTCTGATCGTGACGGCGACAGCCGGCAACCGATGGTTCCAGGGAGGCGGCGGCCGGCAGAACAGCCGGTTTGGTGACGGCGGGAGCGACGGCGGAAGCGGCGAGGGGAGCATGGGATGGAGTTACCCTTGGGAGTCTGGTGAGTCGTCGTATGGTTTCAAATCTTTCATTTAGACGAAATCGAAATTTTAAGGTTGTGTGCCTATTGAATTACACATGGAGCAGACCGAGGATACCTGTCAAGTGCGTCAGCCTATGTACGGAAACTCAGTTCACAGCACTCCGTGGATTCGCACGCCCACGTACGGCCAGACGCGCACCACCTTGCGCGTCTGGCGGAAGGACAGCATCACCGTGCTCATTCATGGCTGGAAGGGCAGCACTGCTGGAATAACTCGCATTTGTGCAACCATGCTAGCGGAAAATAATTATCGAGGGACATCTGTCCCGCGCCTCCGCAAGTGTCATGGCTAGCATAGGATGCGAGACACAAAACGTTGTGGAGGAGTGGATGGAAGAGCGTACAGTTGCCGGCTCAGCTCCCAACCCTCTACGAATCCCCTTTCCCGTCCCCCGCCAGACGCGGAAACATCAGCGTGGGAGGCTCGGCGGCAGAGCATCACGTTCCGTCCGAGGGCGTGTTTCGGATCCACGACCTCATTCGTCATGCCCCAACCCTCCACGAATCCCCACTCCCATCCCCCGCCAGACGCGGAAACGTCAGCGTGGGAGGCGCGGCGGCAGAGCATCACGTTTTTCACGTCCGAGGGGGTGTTTCAGATCCACGACCTCGCGCACGTGCCCGTGCCAGCCGCACCACCTTCGTCGCCAGCATCAACAGCAGCATCAGCATCGTCGTCAGCAGCAGCGTTCCACCGCTTCTCCGAGCGCCGATACATGGATCCACAGCAGGGCCTGTGCCTGGCGTCGCTGTTCGACATCCGCACGTTCAACGTGAGTCTACTGAAAGAGCGTGGTAATGTGTTGGGAGGAAGTCCGGGGGGGGAGGGTGAGGGAGAAGGCGAGCTAGGATGTGGGATGGGGAGGAGGTTGGGGTGGGGAGAGTAGAAAGGGGGGCGGGCAACCGCCGCGACTGCATCTTCTCTCCTCTCCACTCCTCTCGTCTCCTCCCTCCCCACTCCCCCCCCCCTCCCCTTTCCTCTCCCTCCTCGCATCGTGCCTCTACTGTGTGTTGGGATTTTGCCGCTCCCCTTTCTCATATCGTGACTGCATCTTCACTCCTCTCCACTCCTCTCCACTCCTCTCCACACCTCTCTCTTTCTCCCCTCTCCATGCAGGGTCTTGATGCGTCGCGCCTCTTCTGTGTGGTGGGCTTCTGTCGTTCCCCTGAGATGCTCTCTGACGTCGTAGCGGACACCGTGCTCATGGCTGGCGGGGAGGTGAGCACATGAATACGCACGTTTAAATGCGCTCCTTATATACATATTTGCTACTAAAACTACACATACATAAACATAGGTGGTGTCACAGATGGGTAAAACATTCCAGGGTTAGCCATGCCACAGAACCCATCACTCCATCCAATCGTGTACTGCCACGTGTCACCAGGTGGTGGACTCAAAGCTGGAGATGGGGCAGGGCCTGCATGAGCATCTGCGCCTCACTGTATCCCTCCCCTATTTATTCGGCGTGCCGCCCGCTCTGGATGCGCTTAACCGGGCGATCCGATTGGGTGGAGGGATTGTGGATAAGAGCTTCCACCAATGGGAGATGTGCCCGTAAGTGGCCCGTAGACGAACTCCCCACATAAACTGCGCACCCACCTAACCCCATTTGGTTGAGCGCAGCGGTTCATATGCACCCTGTATATAGTGCTCACCAATTAGTCTTCTCGTTTCTTGATCACCAATTTGTATCTTTTAGCCTCAATTCATGCCAGGAAAGGGTTACTGAACCCAAGAATGGATTGGCTGTAATAGACTTTTTTCATAACAAGCGTATATATGCTGTTGATAAAACAAGCCAAAATAAGAATGTACAAGTAGGATCTTCAAGCACTTTGAAGGACGCATTTACCTCCCTAATCACTAACCGTATGTGGCACTATTAATGACGTGGCAGCACTAGCTGGATCCACAAGCTGTGGACTGATGAGGCCGATGCGAAAGTAGCCCTAAGCATCGTACTGCACCGCGCTGAACCGCCTTGCAAGCGTTTCAAACACCATCGCGTTTCGCAACGGCCACCAAATTTTGATGGCCGAATGGTGATGCACGGGGATCTTACACGCCCTAAGCTTACAAAACCGTTCCTCTCCTTACTGCTGCTACCAGTAAACGAGAGCAAACGAGGGAGCAAACGAGTCGTATGTCATGTCTTGTACACTATGCACTAGGGCAGCACTTGCCGATCCCGCAAGCCTTGGTCCCGATGGGGCAGCACGCGTAAGAGCCATTTCTCTTCTTCATGCACCCCCCCGCCTTGCAGCACATGGTTCCTCCGCAGCACGGATACTCCACGTTGTTCTGCCAGGGAAAAGATTGTAAGAGATGGTATCATAGTGGGGTAGAAATTTGGGAAAACGGAAGGTGTCAGGACGATGCAACAATGAGAAGAACGGAATCAGGAATGTGTTCGATAATGTTTAGCACGTGGTTGAATTAGAGTATGTTAGACGAGTTTGCGCATGGAAATTAGTGGCACTTACGGTGCAGCAGGCGCCAGAGCAGTAAATGGCAGGCTGGCTGCATGTTGTGACGCTCCTGTACGGGCAGACTCCAGCGCCCCTGGGGCATTGGAGCTTCTTCACCGCTAGAAATCGTCGGCCGCTGACGAGCGACGCTAACTCGCCGTCTGGCAGAGCGTGGGTGGCAGAAAATAGCACCAGGACGATGGAGCAGACCAGTGCAAGCGCGTGGATAGAATGGAAACGGAAATTGGCCATTGCGCTTAGAATTTTTTATCTAGGTGATGTCACGTAGAATAAAAAACTTCAAAAGGTCCTCAACAGCTTTCGACGCTGGTAAGAAAGGGCTCCTGCTAATATTGGAATTGCTGAGGTAATTTGTGTTGGAGGTTTCGGAGAGCTACAATTTATGGACAGACAATGGCGTGCTGGGTCGAGTTTGAGATGAGTTGACGAGTTGAGTCGAGGAAGGAGGTCGGTGTGCATTTGAGGTGTGTGTGATTCCGCACCGCCGCAATTTCCAACGCACGGGCCGCGATTCGCCATACGAGATGGCGACACGATCCAGGGATTTGCTTGCCTGTTGGTTCGAAGAAAAAGCATGGCAGCGCTGACGTCGACCAGTCATCTGCAGCCGTGGACCCAGGCGAAGGGTCTACACACGATGCTCAACTGCTGCGCACGAATTGGATCTGTGCCCTGTCGAAACTCTTCCCACGAACGATTGGTGACGGGAAGTTGCACCCTGTTTACAAGCTCCCCAAACAAGCTGGGATGGTTATGAACCAATGGTAACGAAGTGACTGAAGTCGAATTTTGCAACGACCGAAGTCAAAAAGTCAACGGGTAGTTACAATGTTTTCTATAGGCCCTTTTTGCTAGCTGCGACATCACGAAACCTCCGCGAAATGCAAGAAACGCTTACACGCCCAAAGGGTAAGGCAAGTATGGGGGACTCCCTCGAGCATCGTGTGTACAAATGCCAGCCTGGAATTTGACGAAACCAAACACCACCGATGACCAGTGCGAGTTACCTGCACGGGGCTCCACTTCAGCAGCAAGGATGCAACATTCCACTGTTTTGCCTTGGTGTTTCCACTTCCGCCAGCGAGCCCAAAAGGTAACAGGTCAACGCCACGTCAACTCACTTCGAAATTGCGCGGCTTGCCACCGACATCCATTCAGAGAGGTAAAGGGGGAGGTGGTACAAAAAGCGTGGCAAATGCCAGCCACAAACCGCACTCATTGCACCTGCCGCATTTGGCGCCGCGCTAACATGTATGATTTCAACCGCAAATCGGAGATGGGCCTACCGAGTACAGGACATGGAAATGCATATGCTGGTTTTTCTGAACCAACAGAAGGTGGAAAAAATAAAATAAACGCTTAAAACACTAATAAAAAACTGTCCACCACACCATACAGCCAGTATCAGGTTCAGTAAAGCCAGTATCAGTGTCTGCCAGTAAAGGCATGTCCCACTTGTTACATCTACATCTAGTCATTGCGCTTCAGTGTTCTTTTCCCATATGCAGAAGTCATGACCTGACATAGCAATCTGCCAAGAAGGATCTGCAGAGGGAGAGGGGGAAAAAGGGTGAAAAATCAGCCATCTCTCTTCATGCTTGAATTCTGACAAACCCACATCATTTTTCAGAAAAGCACCACCTTCTTTGGTGCGGTAGCTGTTGCCTATCTCCAACAAACAGCCTCTCATCAACCCCAGCATCAGCACCAGTCAATGTGACTTAAGGGCGTGTAAAATTGTAACGACCAAACCAATTTCCCGCCCTTAGCGCGTTTCAGGCGATCGCGAATAGGTGTAACGCGTAAGCGACTCCCGCCACAAATTTCGCCAGCAGGTGGGGCATCCGCCACAAACCATCCCCGTAATTGAAAACGTAAGTTTTGATTCCTTCTACTGCAATCTAACAGGGTGTGGAATACAGGGGGATTGGAAGCCTAGACTAGGCTGTTTAACAAAGCAGCGAGTTTAGGCGAACACACAGATTTTCCTTTTCTCTGAGGATACAAGTCTACGTAGGTCCCAAAAAGCAGTCGTCCAAATTCCATGCGGAAATACCATTGCAATTCGATCAAACCGGGGTGACTTCTCTGTGCGCGTAACCCTAAATACTTCGCAATCGCCAGAACCGCCCGAATGGTCGACCATTTCGTTTGGTCATTACAAATTTACACGCCCTAAGATAACCACTAAGGCAGCACACTTCCAGGGACCCACTCAAACCCACAGTACCTGGAGCAGTCCCGTGCATGTCAAACGACGGGCCGAGCTTCACAACCACCCCGCGGAACAGCCTGTCATCATCCACGTCAGTCCCAGTGCGCGCCACATAGAGCTGCGTGCTGCACGCCATGATGCGGATCGCACTCCTCGATGTGATGCCGTTGCGCTGCCGGATCGCCAGCAGCTTCTGGATCTGGTCCTGCGATGATAAACGTGTGGATCGGGGACAAAAGATAGCAGAAATAGAAAGATATGTACTGACACATGCGGTCTCAACAACTTCCGCTGCTTTTTGTTTGTTTTGTTCTTCCTTCGACAGATCGCTCGGTTTGCAAGGAGAAGATGGATGGTGGATGTGGCATCATGGCTGGTGGCTGGTGGATCGTGGTTAATGGATGGTTCTGCTTCTGGAGCTCAAGAAAGCACAACTGACCTTAAGGTTCCACTCGTACAGGTGGTCAATGAACACACATGGCACACCCGGGTGGGTCAGAATGTACACATACCTGCACAACCGAACAACAGCAGGGGATACGGGGAAGGGTGGGGGGTGCGGGAAGTGTGGGTACGTGAAGGGTGGAGTGGGGAGTGCAAAACTCAAGAGTGAGTCAAAGCAACCACGAAGAATTCACATGGGCGAGTGTGGTATATTTATGAGACAAAGTGGAGCGACCTCCGGTAACTTCTGAGTCGGCTCAAAAGTCACCTGAATTCACATGGGCGAGTGTGGTATATTTATGAGACAAAGTGGAGCGACCTCCGGTAACTTCTGAGTCGGCTCAAAAGTCACCTGAATTCACATGGGCGAGTGTGGTATATTTATGAGACAAAGTGGAGCGACCTCCGGTAACTTCTGAGTCGGCTCAAAAGTCACCTGAATTCACATGGGCGAGTGTGGTATATTTATGAGACAAAGTGGAGCGACCTCCGGTAACTTCTGAGTCGGCTCAAAAGTCACCTGAATTCACATGGGCGAGTGTGGTATATTTATGAGACAAAGTGGAGCGACCTCCGGTAACTTCTGAGTCGGCTCAAAAGTCACCTGAATTCACATGGGCGAGTGTGGTATATTTATGAGACAAAGTGGAGCGACCTCCGGTAACTTCTGAGTCGGCTCAAAAGTCACCTGAATTCACATGGGCGAGTGTGGTATATTTATGAGACAAAGTGGAGCGACCTCCGGTAACTTCTGAGTCGGCTCAAAAGTCACCTGAATTCACATGGGCGAGTGTGGTATATTTATGAGACAAAGTGGAGCGACCTCCGGTAACTTCTGAGTCGGCTCAAAAGTCACCTGAATTCACATGGGCGAGTGTGGTATATTTATGAGACAAAGTGGAGCGACCTCCGGTAACTTCTGAGTCGGCTCAAAAGTCACCTGAATTCACATGGGCGAGTGTGGTATATTTATGAGACAAAGTGGAGCGACCTCCGGTAACTTCTGAGTCGGCTCAAAAGTCACCTGAATTCACATGGGCGAGTGTGGTATATTTATGAGACAAAGTGGAGCGACCTCCGGTAACTTCTGAGTCGGCTCAAAAGTCACCTGAATTCACATGGGCGAGTGTGGTATATTTATGAGAAAAAGTGGAGCGACCTCCGGTAACTTCTGAGTCGGCTCAAAAGTCACCTGAATTCACATGGGCGAGTGTGGTATATTTATGAGACAAAGTGGAGCGACCTCCGGTAACTTCTGAGTCGGCTCAAAAGTCACCTGAACTCACATGGGCGAGTGTGGTATATTTATGAGACAAAGTGGAGCGACCTCCGGTAACTTCTGAGTCGGCTCAAAAGTCACCTGAATTCACATGGGCGAGTGTGGTATATTTATGAGACAAAGTGGAGCGACCTCCGGTAACTTCTGAGTCGGCTCAAAAGTCACCTGAATTCACATGGGCGAGTGTGGTATATTTATGAGACAAAGTGGAGCGACCTCCGGTAACTTCTGAGTCGGCTCAAAAGTCACCTGAATTCACATGGGCGAGTGTGGTATATTTATGAGACAAAGTGGAGCGACCTCCGGTAACTTCTGAGTCGGCTCAAAAGTCACCTGAATTCACATGGGCGAGTGTGGTATATTTATGAGACAAAGTGGAGCGACCTCCGGTAACTTCTGAGTCGGCTCAAAGGTCACCTGAACTCACATGGGCGAGTGTGGTATATTTATGAGACAAAGTGGAGCGACCTCCGGTAACTTCTGAGTCGGCTCAAAAGTCACCTGAATTCACATGGGCGAGTGTGGTATATTTATGAGACAAAGTGGAGCGACCTCCGGTAACTTCTGAGTCGGCTCAAAAGTCACCTGAATTCACATGGGCGAGTGTGGTATATTTATGAGACAAAGTGGAGCGACCTCCGGTAACTTCTGAGTCGGCTCAAAAGTCACCTGAACTCACATGGGCGAGTGTGGTATATTTATGAGACAAAGTGGAGCGACCTCCGGTAACTTCTGAGTCGGCTCAAAAGTCACCTGAATTCACATGGGCGAGTGTGGTATATTTATGAGACAAAGTGGAGCGACCTCCGGTAACTTCTGAGTCGGCTCAAAGGTCACCTGAACTCACATGGGCGAGTGTGGTATATTTATGAGACAAAGTGGAGCGACCTCCGGTAACTTCTGAGTCGGCTCAAAAGTCACCTGAATTCACATGGGCGAGTGTGGTATATTTATGAGACAAAGTGGAGCGACCTCCGGTAACTTCTGAGTCGGCTCAAAAGTCACCTGAATTCACATGGGCGAGTGTGGTATATTTATGAGACAAAGTGGAGCGACCTCCGGTAACTTCTGAGTCGGCTCAAAAGTCACCTGAACTCACATGGGCGAGTGTGGTATATTTATGAGACAAAGTGGAGCGACCTCCGGTAACTTCTGAGTCGGCTCAAAAGTCACCTGAATTCACATGGGCGAGTGTGGTATATTTATGAGACAAAGTGGAGCGACCTCCGGTAACTTCTGAGTCGGCTCAAAAGTCACCTGAATTCACATGGGCGAGTGTGGTATATTTATGAGACAAAGTGGAGCGACCTCCGGTAACTTCTGAGTCGGCTCAAAAGTCACCTGAATTCACATGGGCGAGTGTGGTATATTTATGAGACAAAGTGGAGCGACCTCCGGTAACTTCTGAGTCGGCTCAAAAGTCACCTGAACTCACATGGGCGAGTGTGGTATATTTATGAGACAAAGTGGAGCGACCTCCGGTAACTTCTGAGTCGGCTCAAAAGTCACCTGAATTCACATGGGCGAGTGTGGTATATTTATGAGACAAAGTGGAGCGACCTCCGGTAACTTCTGAGTCGGCTCAAAAGTCACCTGAATTCACATGGGCGAGTGTGGTATATTTATGAGACAAAGTGGAGCGACCTCCGGTAACTTCTGAGTCGGCTCAAAAGTCACCTGAATTCACATGGGCGAGTGTGGTATATTTATGAGACAAAGTGGAGCGACCTCCGGTAACTTCTGAGTCGGCTCAAAAGTCACCTGAACTCACATGGGCGAGTGTGGTATATTTATGAGACAAAGTGGAGCGACCTCCGGTAACTTCTGAGTCGGCTCAAAAGTCACCTGAATTCACATGGGCGAGTGTGGTATATTTATGAGACAAAGTGGAGCGACCTCCGGTAACTTCTGAGTCGGCTCAAAAGTCACCTGAATTCACATGGGCGAGTGTGGTATATTTATGAGACAAAGTGGAGCGACCTCCGGTAACTTCTGAGTCGGCTCAAAAGTCACCTGAACTCACATGGGCGAGTGTGGTATATTTATGAGACAAAGTGGAGCGACCTCCGGTAACTTCTGAGTCGGCTCAAAAGTCACCTGAATTCACATGGGCGAGTGTGGTATATTTATGAGACAAAGTGGAGCGACCTCCGGTAACTTCTGAGTCGGCTCAAAAGTCACCTGAATTCACATGGGCGAGTGTGGTATATTTATGAGACAAAGTGGAGCGACCTCCGGTAACTTCTGAGTCGGCTCAAAAGTCACCTGAATTCACATGGGCGAGTGTGGTATATTTATGAGACAAAGTGGAGCGACCTCCGGTAACTTCTGAGTCGGCTCAAAAGTCACCTGAATTCACATGGGCGAGTGTGGTATATTTATGAGACAAAGTGGAGCGACCTCCGGTAACTTCTGAGTCGGCTCAAAAGTCACCTGAATTCACATGGGCGAGTGTGGTATATTTATGAGACAAAGTGGAGCGACCTCCGGTAACTTCTGAGTCGGCTCAAAAGTCACCTGAATTCACATGGGCGAGTGTGGTATATTTATGAGACAAAGTGGAGCGACCTCCGGTAACTTCTGAGTCGGCTCAAAAGTCACCTGAATTCACATGGGCGAGTGTGGTATATTTATGAGACAAAGTGGAGCGACCTCCGGTAACTTCTGAGTCGGCTCAAAAGTCACCTGAATTCACATGGGCGAGTGTGGTATATTTATGAGACAAAGTGGAGCGACCTCCGGTAACTTCTGAGTCGGCTCAAAAGTCACCTGAATTCACATGGGCAAGTGTGGTATATTTATGAGACAAAGTGGAGCGACCTCCGGTAACTTCTGAGTCGGCTCAAAAGTCACCTGAATTCACATGGGCGAGTGTGGTATATTTATGAGACAAAGTGGAGCGACCTCCGGTAACTTCTGAGTCGGCTCAAAAGTCACCTGAATTCACATGGGCGAGTGTGGTATATTTATGAGACAAAGTGGAGCGACCTCCGGTACAGGGAGCATAGCGAGATGACATGAGAACACCTGGCAGAAGCAGCAACTTCTCCAAACCAGTGTATGATTTTTGAGAATTTTTGCAAAACATACGCTGAGAACACCTGCCAGAAGCAGCAAGCTCTCCAGACCAAACGAGTTCACAAACAATGAAACGACCCGCAGGCTCTGGGCAGACGGCGGCCTCCTTGGCCACCATATTGCACTGCATCCCGCCCTATTCCACCCTATCCCATCCCATTCCACTTTCACCCCATCCCACCCAAACCACCCTATTCCACCCTAGCCTATCCCACCCTAGCCTATCCCACCCTAGCCTTACCCAACCTGTCCCACCCCACTCCACCCTACCCATTCTATTCCACCCTGCCCCACCACATTCCACTCAAATCCACCCCATCCCACCGTAATCCACCCTATTTTACCCTATGCGAACCACCTTTATCCACCCTTTCCAGCCCTATCCTGCCATTTCACCTCCCCTTTGTCTCACCCGAGTGTGACACCCCAGGCGGGGAACGGCCAGTGTTGCTGAGTGGAGCCTGTAGAGTGGTTGTCGACAAATGTGACAGCCTGGCGAACGAGAGTGGGAGGGGAGGTGAGGGATGATGAGACGAGGGGAAGCTTGTGGAATTATTGTCCACGAACTTGAAAGCCTGGCTTCGAAACAGGGTGGGATGGCAGGGATGATGGAAACTATGCAAGAGATTGTTCACAAGAGTGCGGCTTTGAGGCGCCTCAAAAATGGAAATTATGAAAGAGTTTGTTCACAAGAGTGCGGCTTTGAGGCGCCTCAAAAATGGAAATTATGAAAGAGTTTGTTCACAAGAGTGCGAACGGGGGTTGGAGCCAGAAGGGTGGTTGAGGGGAGAATGCCAGAAGGAAGACAAACTTTATTGTTTAAGCGTTGAATGTTATACCATTTGTTTAGGCACCTGTTGTTTAAGAGTTGAATACTAGAAGGCTAGATAGTAACAGCAGGAGGCTACGAGCAGCAGGCTATAAGGACTATCGATAGACCAAGGGAATGACACTATAATGACCAACTACCTGCAAGCAGCATGACAAACGGCGACCAAAGGCCTGCCTGAGGCCGATATTGGGAAAACATTGCGGTGGACAACTTCTAAATGCAATTCCAATATGCTTCCCCATTGGTCAACTCTGACTTTTGAGGCGCCTCAAAAGTCAACTTCTAAATGCAATTCCAATATGCTTCCCCATTAGTCAACTCTGAAACCACCATGAGAGGCAGCAAGCAAGGGATACTTCAATGGCCCAAGCAAAAAGTACAGACTCTCAAAAGGAGACTACAGAAATAACAGGGGAGGCTACGAAAGAGCGCCGTGGTCTTATAGTGATGAGGAGGCGATGGAATGCCCAGTGCCCACCTTTGCAGGCAGCAAGCCGATGAGCCCGGGAGGCCTGCCCTGGGGGTCTATGAGGCGCCAGTACTCGCAGTTCTGCACTGCCGCCTGCAGTATGCCCTGAGGAAAGAGAGATACGAGAGGGTGGGGTGTGGTGAGGAGGTTTTGCATTGTGGTCAATGGGGGTCGATGGGGGTCTATGAGGCGCCAGTACTCGCAGTTCTGCACGGCTGCCTGCAGTATGCCCTGGGAGACAGACAGAGGCATGGAGAGAAGTGAATGAGGGGAGATAGCAGTCAATGATGGTCAACGGGGTTTGATGAGTCTATGAGGCGCCAGTACTCCCAGTTCTGCACTGCCGCCTGTAGTATGCCCTGGGAGACGGATAGAGGCGTGGAGGGAGGGGTGGGGAGGGATGTGGAGGGGTTGACTCAGGGTCAATATAGGTCAATGGGGGTCCCTGGGGGTCTATGAGGCGCCAGTACTCGCAGTTCTGCACTGCTGCCTGCAGTATTGCCTTGGGGGATAGAGGCATGGAGGGGGGGGGGGGGGGGAGGGGTGACGAGGGGTTGAATAACGGCCAGTGGGGGGCAATGGGGGTCAATGGGGGTCAATGGGGTCAACGTGGGTCTATGAGGCGCCAGTACTCGCAGTTCTGCACTGCCGCCTGCAGTATTGCCTTAGGGGATAGAGGCATGCAGGGGTGGGGAGGGGTGTGGAGAGGTTGAATCACGGTCAATAGGGGTCAATCGGGGTCAATGAGGAGCCTGCACTCACAGGGTTGCACTGCCACCTCCCGTATGCCCTGGATGCAGTCCGGAAGGTGATTAAAAGTACATGAGGTCAACAGAGTAAACGAGGGTCAACGAGGGTCAATGATGGGTAGGCGGAACACAACTTATGGCAGAGGAGAGGATGCAGGAGCAGCTTTTTTATCACAAAGTGCAGTGTAGTAAAATTTGGTTCTTGTGTATGTAGCCTATAATAACATATTTACTTGCGCTTCATGTGATACAGTTTTTTTTTTTTTTTTTTTTTTCAACCGTGTACCTTTGTAGTGTAGTCGATCATGTGAGGTGTGCCCTTTGCTGCTTTCACCCAGTCAGCGAGCAATGCTCGATGGCCGTCTGCAGGGGTGAGAGAGGAAGAGAGGCACGTGCAGGAGCAGAAAGGAACAACGGATGTAAACTGGTCACTGGCTGACAATGAAGACGGTCAGCTGAGTGCAATCAACTGAGAAAGAACAGATACATATAGATAAAAAAACCAACTGAAGATGCCGCGGATGTACACTGACAAATAACAGATAAATCAATATATAGATGTACAGTATATATACAATATCGAAACTCAACCTGCTCCATTCCGTGCTCACCTTGATCATATTCGAGAGTGCTGCCCTGGTAGCGCATCTCCGTCCACACATCAGCGACAGCTAGCGTGTGGTGCGGGCGGGGCTTGTATCCCAGCAGCACCTGTGACTTCTGAATCAATTAGCCGTGCTCTTTTCTCTCCTTACCTTGGTCGTATTCGAGAGTGCCGCCCTGGTAGCGCATCTCCGTCCACACATCAGCGACAGCGAACGTGGGGCTCGTATCCCAGCAGTACCTGCACCGAGTGCCTATGGGCGGGTGGATTTACGCAGACACAGGCGGCCTCTGAGGCACAGCGGCCTTACCCACTAAAAAGCGTGTCATGGGTTTGTGCTGCAGACTAATCAGGCAGAAGGAACACGGTGCAATGTGATATGGTTGGGTGGGGTGGGGCAATGCTGGAGGTGCTGCAGAGTTTGCTTGGGTATGGGCCAATGCTGTGGACATGGTTCGGTATAAGAGGAGTGAGTGACTCACGAGTGGGCTACTGCAGGATCGAAGGCACGGGCGAGGTCGAAACACCACGCCTGCAGAGGAGAAAAGAGGAGCGGAGCAGCGGATACATAGTAGTGAGGCCATGGCCCATGGCAGGCAGGCGCAGCACATGGAAGTAGAAAACACAGTAGGGGGGGCATGGGGAACACATCAATGTTTTTTTAGAGTTCTTAAAAAACATACGCTGCATCATATCTCCCGCCCATGGAAGTAGAAAGCACAGCAGTGGGGCACGGGGAACACATCAATGTGACACTCAAGGCGGAAAAAAGAGGGACACGATGTGCAGAATCAGCCGCGTCAGAAAAGGAAATGTGCATTGGCAGACGTGATAAAAGTAGTGTTTTGAGACGTCTCAAAATGCTCCTGCTCTCACTCACATCGAAGCCAACGTCGAATCGCAGCCAGCGCAGCCACCCCTTGCAGTCCTCCTCCACTGCGGGGTTCCCATGGTCCATCACGCTGCTCCTCCCCCCTTCTGCCTGCACTTCAATGCCCACCTGCTCGCCCTGCCGCCACACTGCCGGCTGAACACGTGGGAAAAAGGTAAGAGTGGAAGAAGGGGGAGAGGTGGAGAGGGGATAATCGCTGAGTGAACTTACAACCCCTCCTCCACTGCAGGGTTCCCATGGTCCATCACGCTGCTGCTCCTCGCCGCTGCCTGCATGTCAATGCCCACCTGCTCGCCCTGCCGCCACACTGCCGGCTGAACACGGGTGAAGAAAGAACGGGCCAGTTGTCGAGAGCCCACTCATACGTCCTGCACTGCCGACAGGGTGTTTGTTGAGAGCCCACTAATGAATTCTGCATTGTGAGATTCGCTTTACCAGATACAACCTGGTTTACCAGTTAGTGCCGGGAAGGTGCCAAAAGAGGGTACGATTGTGAAAGATGGGCAAGAGGGTCTGAAAAACAACATACTTTGTGTTGCTTGAACAACCACGGGACCCACACACCTCGTTACCATGTTGGTGAGTCGGTTCAGTTCCACTCTGACAGCCCTGGCTCGCCCGGACCTACTCCCCCTGGGGCCCCACCTCCTTCTGAATCGACTCAGAAATTGGACGTTACAGCGACTATGGCACTCACGCACCTCATCGACAGTGTTGGTGAGTCGGTTCCATTCTGATAGCCCTGGCTCGCCGGGGCCCACTCCCCCCGGCACCCCACCTCCTCCCCCCATCTGCTGCTGCTGCTGTTGCTGCTGCTCAGATCCGCTCGTGTCCACCAAACCGCCCATCCGGTTCACGACCACGTGGAGGCACGCGCCCAGCCCTGCTGCGTGCAGCTGCGCCAGAAGCTTCCGCAGGCTGGCCTCTGTTCCGTACGCACTATTGAGGTCGTAAAAGTCCACTGGAGCGAAACCTGCACAGACAGAGAAAGTTACACTTCGTGGTTGGATTGGGTATAAGGATTTCATTCATCAACAATTCGATTGACCAATGTACCCGACATATCCATTCATGAAGATTCACCTGACATGAAGATTCACTTGAGAATTGGTATCACCTGACATGGATTCACCTGACATGAGAATTCACCTGACAGGAAATTGACCTGACCTGAAGATTCACCTGGTCCATCAGCAGCCTTGCAGCACGGCGGGAAAATGAGGTCTGAGAACCCCATCGCCTTGAAATCACCCACTCGTTCCGCAAGAACGTCGTACCACCGGCCGTTAATCCCTCCTCCCCCCGCTTCATGCGACGACCATGAGAAGGCGTGGAGCAAGCAGCGCGACGGGGTTTCTGGCAGCGGCCCGTCGTCCTCGTCGGAATCGAAGGAGAAATCCCATAGCAACCCCGGATCGGTTTGATCGACTGAGTCGTGTTCTGAGCTCGCGCTTGCTGCTAACGAAGCGTGCTGTAACGCGAATGTCACAACGCACCGTCGTGCTTGACAGGGGTTAGCTTGCCTGGTCGACGACTTGCGACAAGTTTTGTTTAAAGCCCACGCACAGCTGTTAACCCTGACCCTGACATCCGCTTCGTGGCCTTTGAGACCTGAATGTTTAAAGCCAAGGAAAAGCCTGATAAACCCTTTCGGGTTGCGGATTGAGGCTGCATGGGTGCTTTTGACGACTGGCTGCGAGCCGACTAGCCGTTCCGATGGAAGGTTCGGCGGAAGATGCACTTCCATGCAGACCATGCGAAATCAGACGGAAAGAGACAATGCAAACTCAAAGCTTAATGTAAGCCGCGCGCGGTGAGGCGAACGCGCAATGACATCTGCAGGTGGCACGGTTAACCGAGCGTATAGGACGGCTTCCCGACGCGCGGCGGAAAAAAAAAACTCAAGAATACAAAGAAACTATCCTGACGGAACTACAAGCAAGCTGTGCTGTCGACAGCCATCACCGACCACTCTGGCCAGGAGCAGGACAGACGATTGTCAACAACCATCAGTCAGAAGATGGAGACAAGAACAAAGCCGCTAAGACTAGTGCGAGATGGCTATTTCAAAATCACGAAGAGCCACAAAGTCTGGCTCGACACCGCACTAGGAACCCGCAAATTTCATCGCACCCTATAGAACCGTGTCCAAACTTTCTGTGACAAAGCGATCTCAAGGGCGATCAATTGAGTGGGACCACGTGCTGAGCGTGTTTCGGCAAGATCGAGGGAAAAAATTCAACCAATCAGAGAAGCGAAACTTTGTCCAGCGCAGAGTGGAGAATTGAGGTGCTCCTTCAACATTGCGATCGCGGGCTCAGGGGAGACTTTGGTCAAGGTCAGTCCTGTGACTATACGGAGGGTGTCAGATATATAAAACGAAATGGGCAGATAAACTGCCAGACCGTATAGAAAATTCAAGTCATGACTTCTCAAGATTGCAAACATGCAATGATTTTACAGAATTGGAGCAGGAGAAAACCAGCAAGCCTCCTGTCAGAAATCCAAAACAAGATTAATTATATCACAGCTTACATGAGCTGCTGAGGACACCATACATCAGAAACACGAGCAGCATCTCAATACAACAATTACTACAAATTCATGCCATTCAGAATTCTTGCCCAAAATCACCCTTTAGTTACTCTATAGGGGAGTAGTACGAGTGGACGGCGAATATGAGGAACAGTGCCCCTCCCACCATAGCTACAGTGCGCTGCGAGATGCGCAGGGCAAGCAGTCTGCCGCCCACCACTGCAATGCTGGTGCACACCACATGGCCCAACGTCGCCCCCACCGTCACTCCCAAGGCGTTTTTGTGCGCTGCCAGCTGCACGTGTGGGAAGGGAGCAGACAGGGCAGGGGAGTGCGGCGGGAAATGTTAAGACAGCAAAGGATCAATCTGCCAACCACAAGAGCACACCACATGGCCCAACGTCTCATAACTGTCACTCCCAATGCATGCAAAACTCATTGCGACACCTGCCATTGGCGCGTTGCAAGGTCTCGAAACGGATAGGAATACCCCTACACACGACTTACAGCAATGGTTGCGATTTGGCTGCGATCGCCCCACTCGGCAAGAAAGGTGAGGATGAAGGCCTGCCAGGAGGAGGGTGAGAGGGTAAATGGAGCGGTGAGGGTGGAAGGTGTGGGAGTGGAAGGGGCAGCAGAGAGCCCCTGAAAGATGGGTGATCAAATATAACACCCGTGATAGCCCTGGGGGCTTACAAAGAAGCAAACAGAGGGAGCAAAACGGGAGAACAAAACTGGGGGAAAGGACTACTCACTTCCAGGAATACAGGCGTGCAGAAGCCAGCAAAGAACTTGCGAATGCCTCTGTGCCTTCCCTTGTCATTTTCCTCGCTCTCCAGCTTCTCCTCCACCTGCTCCAGCCACCCAGGGAGGATGTGGCGGAGGAGGAGGAGGAGAAGAGGAGGAGGAGGGAGGAGGAGGAGGAGGAGGAGGAGGAGGAGGAGGAGGAGGAGGAGGAGGAGGAGGAGGAGGAGGAGGAGGAGGAGGAGGAGGAGGAGGAGGAGGAGGAGGAGGAGGAGGAGGAGGAGGAGGAGGAGGAGGAGGAGGAGGAGGAGGAGGAGGAGGAGGAGGAGGAGGAGGAGGAGGAAGAGGAGGAGGAGGAGGAGGAGGAGGAGGAGGAGGAGGAGGAGGAGGAGGAGGAGGAGGAGGAGGAGGAGGAGGAGGAGGAGGAGGAGGAGGAGGAGGAGGAGGAGGAAGAGGAGGAGGAAGAGGAGGAGGAGGAGGAGGAGGAGGAGGAGGAGGAGGAGGAGGAGGAGGAGGAGGAGGAGGAGGAGGAGGAGGAGGAGGAGGAGGAGGAGGAGGAAGAGGAGGAGAAAGAACAAAATGTAAAGAATTGACTTGCATCATCAAATCGAGCTGAAACTGTGACATTCTTCTGAAAATGTGACACCCTTCTGATACAACAGACCCTCATATGGTAACTGTCAAGGAAGCTTGTGGCATCAACCAACGCAACGCACCACACACCCACCTCCTCCATCTCCTTAGCGGCGGACTCCTTGGGGTCCGCCTTCCATGCGATGTACAGCAGACGCAGGCCAAAGAAGGTGTACAGCACTGGGGGGGTGGGGGAGAGGGGGGGGGGAGGAAGGGGGGGGTAGGGTGGCGGATGGGGTGGCAAGGCTTAGAGCGAGTGGAGTCACTGGTCTCATGCACTCCTTGCATGGGGTCTGCCCTCTGCTCTCCATGCGATGTACAGCAGACGCAGGCCAAAGCAAGCGCACTGCACTGGGAGGCGCGTGGAGGTGGGGATGACGCGGGTGATGCGGGTAAGGGGTCGACCGGGACAGTGAAGCAGTTCAAGAGTGTGAGAGGCATGGTCCAGCAGTACGCATCACTGCTGCATCACTGTGCAGCGCGGCCGCATCACTATGCGGCCCAACTGATCCTAAACCTAAACGAGCACATGGGCACGGTTAACTTCTCCTGGAACGCCATCCTCACTTCCTCCTCCGGCATCACTGATACCACCAGCAGCGCTGACCCGAAACCACGGAACAACCCCACCACTTACAAATTTTTTACTCGTCGACAAGAGCACCAGCACCCTCACCCATTCACAGGCAAGGCCATGACTCACCCGTGGCAGCGCTGTTGGTGGCCTTTCTTGAAATGAGGTTGGGCACTATGAGGCCCAGCCCCGTTGACAGCACCTGCACGTGAGAGATGGACAAGAGGGGCAAGCAGCAAGGGTGAGTAAGAGGTGGGGAGGCCTGAGCCCATGAATGAAATTTATGTGAGAGGTAGGAGGGGCAAGGAGCAAGGGAAGGGGGGGTTTGGAAGGGAAAGGGGGGGTTGGGCGTGGGGCCCAGACTCGTGGATGGGACGAGTGCATGAGAGGCGGATGAGAGGGGCCAGAAGAAAGGTGGGGTGGAGGAGGAACAAAAGAATGGGAAAGTTGACTATGAGACGTGGACTAGGGGATAGGATCAATAGGCACGAGGTAACAAACAGGAAAAAGGAGCGGGTTCGGTGGAGGGAGGGGGGGGGGGGGGGGGGGTTGTTATGTAGCTATGACCATGTAATCACACGACATGACCATGTTGCTACCATCACACCGTGGTGGTGTTGTCACAGTGACGAGATCGCCAGGACACCACACGCTAGCAACTCACTGTCATGATTCCCAAAGCAGAGAGCGCTCCAGCCAGCACAATGCTGCGCGGATGGCGCATGGCCATGAGAGCAGCATGAGGCCAGTCACTGTATTACCATACCACCACACACAACTCACCTCAACTCGACTCGACTCACTGTCATGATTCCCAAAGCAGAGAGCGCTCCAGCCAGCACAATGCTGCGCGGATGGCGCATGGCCATGAGAGCAGCATGAGGCCAGTCACTGTATTACCATACCACCACACACAACTCACCTCAACTCGACTCGACTCACTGTCATGATTCCCAAAGCAGAGAGCGCTCCAGCCAGCACAAGGCTGCGCGGATGGCGCATGGCCATGAGAGCAGCATGAGGCCAGTCACTGTATTACCATACCACCACACACAACTCACCTCAACTCGACTCGACTCACTGTCATGATTCCCAAAGCAGAGAGCGCTCCAGCCAGCACAATGCTGCGCGGATGGCGCATGGCCATGAGAGCAGCGATGATGAACGTCTCGTCCCCGATCTGTGCCACACACGAGATGATGGAAGGAGCGAAGGAAAGGAGTGGGAGGGTACACAATCAAATGACACGACGAGGGCCTGATAAGTGGTCCCTCGCAGGATCATGACTTTTGAGACGTCTCAAAACACGGCGAGGGCATAATAAGTGATCCCTCGCAGGATCATGGGCAGGCTCGTCACAAAGGCATCCAACAGCTCGGCCGGCGACCACAGCACATCCTCCCATCCCATGCCATTCCCTGCTCCTTTTGAATCCCCTCTATATCTAAGGTGTCTCGCATCACAAACGACAGTGCGACTCACCTCGCTGACGAGGATCATGGACAGGCTCGTCACAAAAGCATCCAGCAGCTTCGCTGGCGACCACAGCGCATCCTTCCACCCCCCTGAACCGCTCTCCGCCCCTCCACCCCATCCGTTGTTCCCCTTGGTACCAGCAACAGTCGCCTGCGTCGCCTCTCCCGCTGCATCCGCGAGAGTCTCCGCCAGAAACTGCGCACCGGGAACGCGATAACAGAGAATCCGCTACAATCAGTACACTTGAAAAAAAGTCAAATGCAACAAATTTCGGGACTTCATGATTACTTGACACAGAGCATTCGACGCGGTAATTCCTGGCATTGCGTTACCCGATGTGATTGTGACAGTACCTGACGCAGCGACTTCCTGCGGTGCCAGAGGATTCTGAACCACCTACTCCCAGCGGCGATTATGACGGCTGTGCAGGCTACGTCTGCCATTACCCCCGACTCCGCAAGCACACACCACTTTTGAGGCGCCTCAAAAGCCGACTCCGCAAGCACACACCACTTTTGAGGCGCCTCAAAAGCCGACTCCGCAAGCACACACCGCTCTCGTTTTCTCATGATTCATTTTCTAAGGCGCCTCAAAAGTGGTGCAGGCTACGTCTGCCATTCCCCCATTCCTCAAAACACTGTTTCTGCACCACAAAGTAACCTCATAGGCGAGCATCAACCGGAACCAAGAAAGATTCATAAAGCTAGACCTAAAAACGTTTTGCTGAACAAGGAGGTCCAACCACTAAGACCCGTAACAAGGTTACCTTGCCCTCTCGTAAGGTCTTAGTGGCTCCGTCATCTTGCAGCAGCTCTCTCATCTGTGGCAACAAAATAGCCAAGAACGACGTGTGTAGCCAAGACGAAGGAAAATTAGGCGACAACAAAGCATCATAGGGTAATTCTCAGAAAAAAAACCGGCATAACCTTTTTTGTCTCGGAGACGAAACCCGGCAGCGACGCGAAATTTGTATTGAATTAGCTAATGCTCATGGAGCATGCCGTTGACATGCATCCCGTATATCAGGATCTAGAAATGGAAGTCATGGTGCGTTGAGACAAAAAGAAGTAGAATTAAAAAACAAGATGGTTGGCGCCGGCTGGAGCTTACACCCAAAGAGCTTGCGCCGTCTTGGGGTAACGACTCGCCATTGGATATGCAGCACAGCCCTAATTCTAGAACGGCTAGACTAACCACTAATAGCCGTGAAATCTGCATCCTGACGAGAAAGGGACGCAGATCAGACGGCAAGGCACCTCAACAATGAGGAGTAACGGTCTAGAGAACAAACTGCGACGTGCTTGGAAAATAATCTAGTTACTGACGAGCTTGCATGATCGCTATCACTGAAGTAGGCACGCAGTGAAGTTTGAAAGGTTTTGTACGGTAAGGCAAGGTTGTGTGGTATTGTGGGAATTACCACGAGGCAGATCTCAGGGGGGTATCGTTGTGGTTGGTGGTGCAAGGAGGGGTGTGATATTGCTTCGGTATCAAGAACGCCGCAACAACTAACAATCTGTGTTATTAACGATCAATGACAATTCTCTTCCCGTCTAAGTACAAGGGAAACAGATCGGGTGCCAAAGCAAATCCGATGCCCGTAAATAACTTTTCAATCTTTTTCTATACAAGCCTCCTATGGAAGCAGACCATCGCTCTTGCAGTCCCTCACACCTCCGCCGCATTGTGATAGGCTGTAGAAATAAGCACACTCCAGCTGCATTTTGAGCAACTCAAAAACCGCAACCCCCACCATCACATCCCATACCAACAACCATTACAGTCCATCCACCAGCCAGCCCACACCTTTCACTCTGCAGCATCAGAGAACCCGACGCCAGCACCCTTCATCGCATCGATCTTGAACGGCAGCAGGCGAGCCGCATTGCAATGCACCACCACCACCTCCTCCCTGTGTTCCTGCAACCAAACCCTCCCCCCTACCGCCCTCTCTACCGCTCCACCAAATGAAAGCGACGACGGCAGCTGTTCCTTCACAAGGTCTGATCCTAATCCTGCTAACTGAGAGCCTTCTAACGAGGATGAGACTGAAGGGGAGGAGGAATCTAGAGGGCTGAAAGCAAGCCACCCAGGAGGGAAGGACTCTTGAGGTAAAATACCCACTTTGAGCAGTTTTCCATCCTTGGCCATTTGAAATAGGGCCTTTTGTAGCAAGGGTACGTCGCTGCTAGGCACGGGGTAGGTGTAGTCTACTGTTGCCATTCTCCGCGCCCAATCCTCCACCACAGCCTCGGTGGCCTTGGTTTGGCGGAACATTGCCAGGCACGGGGAGGCTCGAGCGATTTGCGACCACGGGAGAGGGATGGCGAGAGAGGAATGGAAGGAGAGGAGGGAGAGGAGGAGGAAGGGAGGGGGAGGGGGGAGGATTCTCCTGGGAGAAGAGGTGGGAGTCATCTTGAAAGGTGATGTCGAGAGAAGGCGGGAAGGAGGGGAGGGGGTTCTTCAGCCACACTGTGTCAAGGTCACTGCATGTTGAGATAGAGCACAGAGTGAGAGCACAGCGGGGGAGAAAATATGTTCTGATTTTGAGGCCGGCGAATGGAGGAAGAGGGTAGAGGAGGACCGGGAATAGGTGACGGAGGGAGGTGAGTGAGCGGATGGGACAAGCCTTCTAGGAAGGGAAACGAGGAAAGGGTGTATAAAGTGAGTAATTCAGTGTGAGGTCACACCTCACCTGTAGAGGGCGTTCACTCCTGCCTTAAGCTGACTTTTGAGTCGACTCAAAACTGAGCTGACTTATGAGTCGACTCAAAAGTCATTTTGAGTCGACTCAAAAGTGAGGTGACACCTCACCTGTAGAGGGCGTTCACTCCTGCCTTAAGCAGTGCTTGTACGAAGAAGGGGCGGCGGGCGGCCAGCAGCAGGAACTCCGGGGAGCCAAGGTGGTGGAAAGCGGTGGGGCGCGGTGCAGGCTGCTGGGTCAAATTTGCCACTTCGAGCCACATGGCATGGCCGGGATAGGCGTCTTCCACTGCCACATGCATGGCCTGAAAGGGGCAGGAGAAGAAGGGAAAGGGACCTGGGATTGAGCAGGAGAGGATGAGGTGGGGCGCGGTGCAGAGTGGTTGATGAGGTATGCTTGATCCAGCCACATGGCATGGCCGGGATACGCATCCTCCACTGATAGGCATCTTTTACATGTCCTGGGGGCGGGAAGGAGGAGACAGGACTGGAGAGGAGGGGGGAAGGCTTGAGCTGATGCCGCCTGCTGTTTCAGGTCTGGGCACCCCAACCACCCCCATCCCCCTACTTCCACCTCCCCCCCTACCCACCTCCTCCTCATCCCACCTCCTCCCACTCCACCTCCCCCCCCCCCCCCAATCACACTTTCCCCAAATCCCACCTCCCCCCCATCCCACCTGGTCGAGGGCAAAGAGCAGGAAGTTGCTGCCCAGGCCAATGCGGTTGAGAGCGGTGACCCAGTTGCGGAAGAGAGGCAGGTACACTGGACAGGGGATTGGGCGGGGAAGGGAAGGGAGGAAATGGGTTACGCAGTTCCTTAGGACTATCTGGAACTGCCTTCCAGGCAGATCACAAGGCAGGCAGATGACAAGGCAGGCAGATTGCAGGGTGTAAGAATTATGGCGCGCGCAAAGTACAAGGGGGGCGTGACGTGACTCACCATACGACGCTGCAGCGAAGATGATAGTTCCGTCCTTGGCAAACTTCCTGGCAGCTTCCTCCACGCGCTTCACCTGGTACAGGAGAGAGAGAGAGAGTTGCATGGCGGCTGGTTAGAGAGAAGACTGGGACGAGCGGACTGGCACGAGTGGACCATGCAGAGACGACAAGCGACAATACAACCATGTTTCATTCGTTTCAAAACACCTCATCAACCACCCACCCCAACTCTCACCTGTCCTGCATCGGCATCTCACCTGTTCAACAGGCAGCATCGGCACGAATCTCCCTGCGGCCTCTCTGAACCCATCCGCTACAGCCTGAGCCCGTGTCTGTAGCACGGGTTGGGCAGGGGCACGTCCCAGTCCGCATCTGCATCTGCTGCTGCTTGCCCGAAGCCCAGTCCCAGGCCCAAAGAGTGGTCGTCCGGGACACTCACGTCGCTGCTGCTGCCCATTTCCGCCCTTGCCACCCCCCTGGCCACGTCGCCCTTGCACCCCCCCTGTGCACTGCCCAAGTCAGTCCCTTCCTCCCCCTGCTCTCTGCCAAACTCTGACTCCCTCCCCACGCCACTGCCGCTGCCAAACTCACTGCCTTGCTGCTCCTGTGCCTGGCCGTACGACGGATCGCCTTCCCTCTGCCCTTGTGCAGTGTCGCCATGTGCAGTGTCGCCATGTGCAGTGTCGCCATGTGCAGTGTCGCCATGTGCAGTGTCGCCATGTGCAGCAGCAGCATAAGAGGAAAAACCATTTCGAGTATTGCTCTCGTGCTCTCCACTTCGCTCTCCGCTTCCTGATTCACGCACCTCCCCATGCCGGCCCCCACTCTCATCATCCTCAGCATCTCTCCCCATCCCTGTACCGTCAATATACCTCCTCCTCCTCCCATTCCTTCTCCCCCTCCTCCATCCTCACCTCCTCTCAATCCCCACTCACGCTCCCTCCCCCATCACCGTCGTCGCCACCACTATCACGCTCACCACCTGTCTTGTAATGAAGGCCACCAACCTCTCCCTCCCTCTTCTCCCTTCTTTCCTCCTCGTTTTCCTGGTCCCTTCCCTCCTGACTCCCCTCCTCCCTTCCCTCCTCCGTTTCCTCCTCTCTCTCCTCCCCCATTTCCTCACCCCTTCCCTCCCCTCTTCCTCCTCCCGCCCTCGTCCCTCTCCCTCTTCTCCCACCTCTACTCGCTTTTTGCCACTTCCTCCCCTTTCCTCCTCCGCCTCACTTTCCTCCTCAACCCCATCCCTTTCCCTTCCTCGGCCTCCCTCTTCCCCTGCCCAACTAATCTGATCTCAGCGCCCCCACCCTCCTCACCTCTCTTCCCGTCTCCCTTCTCTTCTCTCTCCTCGTCACTCCCTGTCTCTTCCTCCTCCTCCCCTCCCTTCTTCTTCCCCCGAACCGCTTCCTCCTCGGGCCCTCTCTTCTTCCCCCAACCGCTTCCTCCTCGGGCCTCTCTTCTTCCTCTCACCACTCTCCTCGTCTCCTCCTCCTCTTCCTCTGTTTCTTCATCCTCACTCTCATCCCCATCCTCGCCTGTACTTCCTGCTTTGCCTTTCCCGCCCTTCCCCTCCCCCTCGCCCCTTCCTCTCCTCCACCCGTTCCTCCCCTCACCTCCCCCTCCCCTGCACCAACCACCACTAGCAGAGGCAGCAATAGCGGCAGCAGCAGCTTCACTCACCGCCCTCTCTCCCTCCACCTGCTCTTCCCTCGACTGCTGAGGCTCGCCCTCTGCATTCCCACTCCTCGTTGACGCCTTCCCTCCCCTCGTTGACGCCTTCCCTTCTGAATCCTCTTCCTCCCTCCCTTGAGATTCCTCTTCCTCTTCCCCAGCTTCTCCTCTTCGTTCCGACACTCCTTCTTTTAGCTTCCCCCTACCACCCTTTCGCCCCACACCTTTCTTCTCCTCTTCCTCCCCCTCCTCCCCTTCCTCTTCTTCCTCCTCTCCTTCCTCTCCTCCTCTTCCTCACTCTTCTCCTTTCCCTTCTCCTCTCCTTTTCCTTTCACAGGAATCCCACCTGTCGCTGCCCTTTCGTCCTCCCTTCTCTCCCCAACAGCCCC